CTAGGCGAGTCCTCTTTCGCTTTCCAACCTTCGTACAACACGCACGTAGATCAAGCTTACGCTCACGACATAGATTTCGTAGTCTCGCCCAACTCCTCGGTGCAGGCGTTGGTTGTATGTGAATAGATTTAATACGACACTATTGCTTCGGTAAGTTGTGAATATAGCTGTGAGTATATATTGCTGGTGATTTTCTTTTCTTCTGCTGATCTCGATTAGCCAAGAGCTTGCATTATTGCGCCGTAGCGCAGAGCGAACTAAGAAAAAACCTTTATCCTGCAGACTACGCGATGCGAAGGTATCAGCTGTGTGCATGCATAGCATACACACACAGACTAGACACACACACATTACATGTGTGTTTGCAATTACTACTGAAATGTCAACATCAGCAGCAACAACAAACGGTTAGATCTAGGGCATTTAAATGTGTGACAGCTCGTATTATTTGAATTTGAATTTATTTGCCTGCATGCTGTGTGAATAAACATCAGAATCCTTGACAAGTTGACATCAACATTAGATTGTATTCCATTCCAAGGACCGTCTTGTGGGAAGAGAAACAAAACACTTCCCATCCATTGAACATTAAAATGTCATGGCCATGGGCATGGACAAGGAGATCCCCGGTCAGCTAGCGGCACCGCAGCGAACTAGCTAACAAAGCCAGCTCGTTCCCCGTCTTTAATTTGTGCATACCGCTGCTGGAATTGCCTTGGTCAGTTGGTCGCAGCGCAGGAGCTGCAGGATCGACTACTACTGAAACAAGTGCAAATATCATAGTTTCTTTGCATGTTTCATTTCAAAGCATTGGTTATAGAAGTCTATTTACAATTTTAAACTGAGCTTTGATTTACTACTAGATCTACTAGCTATTTGGTCGGTAATAAATCAGAAGGATGTAAAAACTAAAGTCTAGACTAGTCTAAATAGTAAAGTAACAGTCTTCATCACCATCAGAAGGATGAGGAGGGTGGTTCACTTTTTCTTTTAAAAATGCCTTTTTAAAAGGTGTGCCTCAACTATTACTAGATCTAGACTAGATTCTATATTATTTTATGTATTGTTACTTGTTCTGCACATCGACTGTAAATTCCTATGACTATGTAGATCTAGAATATAGACTATTTCAGTATCGATTTATCATCTAGATTCTAGTCATGAGTCTTTGACTTTGAGAAGAACCCTTATTCATGTATCATTTCCTTTTCTTTCTTTCATTTTTTGTTTAAATAAAGGAAATGACAAACTGTTATTTCAGACATAGGAAAAAGATGTGTTAATTTTTTATTTTATTTAAATGGCTGTGGGATTATAGAGCTAGGTCTAGGTCTAGATCTAGATCTAAGTACTTTTAGTTATTTTTTCTTCCAATCCAATCTGGAAAATCTGGAATAATGTATACACTGTATGTACCTTCTCAGTGTGCGAGTATAAAGTGATGTGTTTGTCTAATAAAGATATTCTTCCATTAGCAGCTATCAACTGTTCAATTTCTATAAAATTATGATCTTTTTTATTTTACACACAGACTCAATTTGTGACAGTACTTCCAAGTATACGAAAGCGAAAGATCTTGGAGACAATCTTCAGTGCAACATCTCTTTACGACCAGCATGGCGGTCGTGACGCGGGTAGATCAAAATGGAGTTCCATTGAAGCAGGTGCAGGAGGAATCGGCCTTGGGCCTGCAAAACCTCATACAGTCACTGCATCAGAATGGAAACCTGACACCCACGTCCCTCTCTCGCAGCCCCTCCCCCGAGCCTGTCATGCCCTTCATGCGACTCTCGGAGAAGATCGCAAACCGCATCGCCAGCAAGGATCGGTGGTTCTCCTTGGAGTTCTTTCCTCCCAGGACAGCTAGTGGTGCTGTTAATCTCGTGGGAAGGTACGTGCAGTGTTTCGACAAAGATTTTTAAAGGGTTTTATACTGTACCTTATGAGTTGACTAGAATAGCAGCATGGGTGGGGGTGGAGAAATAAAGGTCATGGTATTGGAAAATAACAAAAGATTTTTAAGCAGGATAATGCTATTCATGAATGTATAAATTATACTACCCATATCAAGGAAATGTATTACCCTTGGTAGCCTGCCCTGTATATATTAAAAAATATATACCGGAAATTATATATAATTTTTTTTTTTTTTTTTTTTTTGAGGGGGGGGGGGGGGGGCGGGGGAAGAGCAGGTGTTCATGATATCATAATGGTATGAGAAAGAGAGCTGGATGTACTAACGAGATGCCTAATTAGAATTTGTAAATCCTAATTTTGTTGCATCATCAGTTCTATGCAAGAAACTATACAAAATTACCCTCTTGAATTAAAAAAAAAACAGCTAGGAAGCCCTTATGAAATTGATCTGCAAATGGGGTATCCATGGATACTTATATCATACATCAAATTGCTGGGCACAAAGGTACTCTTTATTTCATTAAAGTAGCTTTTATTCCCCCTTTTTGTGATTTAATAGTGTGAGCATTGACTAATTTTTCTGGATGAATTGAGGGAGGAAAGTGGGGGGGGGGGGGGGGGGGGGGTACACAGCACATTTGATAGTAATCACACGTTGCATAAAGTTATTAAAGTAATAACAACCGGTATATGGGATAAAAGGGGGTGCAAGCAAATCATGGGCCACAAATACTGCACAACTAATTTTGAAATTGATGATGGGGGGGGGGGGGGGGGGGGCTCCTGTTCCAGTGCCTTTGTCCTTTATTTGTGTCCCTGATAATGAGACATAGATCTTGCCGAACCCTTTATCATTTATCGTGCTGTCGAGCAAACAAAAGTAGAGGTAAATCAGCCTTGATTGCCGATTATCATTGTCAAGGTGACCTCATTATCAGTTCAGTTGAGGGCAATGTCTTGGAGGTAACTAGGAAAACAAACACTGTGTGCTATGCTTATCTCTTACAAAAAGTAGGGCCTTTCCGTTTGTCACGTCCACATAGACAAGGTCAACTATGTGACGTCATTTCTGCAATTTGTGTGTGTCGGGTCATCTCACGTCGTCTGGCCAAATTTAAGAACTCTTTCATCCACGATTTGAAGTTCGTCAGAAAACTAGAACCTGTCGTCAAAATGACGTCATCTTGCTATCTATATTGCAGCATAAATCAAGAATAACATAAGGAAAGGCAGACAGAGAATTGCAAATGTATAGAATGATAAAAACAAAGAATAACAGAAGAGAAAGTGATAGAAAGAAGAAATAGAGAATAACATAAGGAAAGTCAGAAAGAGAAGGTGATAGAAGGAAAAAACAAAGAATAACATGAGGAAAGAGAAGGTGATAAAAGGAAGAAACAAGGGATATCGTAAATAGTAATTACGAATCGTGAGGAAAGATAGGAAGAGGAAAAACAAAGAATAACATAAAAGAAGGTGATAGAAGGAAGAAACAAAGAATAACATAAGGAAAGACAGAAAGAGAATGTGATAGGAGGAAGAAACAAAGGATAGCATAAGGAAAGATAGATAGGAAGAGGAAATAATAGAATAATAAAAACTAAGAATAACAAAAGAGAAGGTGATAGAAAGAAGTAACAAAGAATAATATTGGGATATACAAAAATAGATAATGGGAAGAGAAGAGAAGATGAAAGATAATAAAAACAACGAACTATTACATGAGAAAAGGTGATAGAAGTAAGAAACAAAGAATAACATAAAAAAGATAGAAAGAAACATAAAAGAATGATAACAACAAACAACATAAGTGATGATAAAAGAAGAACAAAGAATAACATTAGGAAAGACAAAAAGAGAAAATGATCAAGAATAGATAATGGAAAGATAAAAGAGAAGATGAAAGATGGAAACACAAAGAATAACATAAGGAAAAGACAGAAAGAGTAGGCAATAGAAGGAAGAAACAGGATAGCAAAAGGAAAGATAGGAAGAGGAAATAATAGAATAACAAAAACAAAGAATAACATTAAAGAGGTTGATAGAAGGAAGAACTAAGAATAACATAAGGAAAGACAGAAAGAGAAAATATATAAAGAGATAATGGAAAGATAGAAGAGAAGATGAAAGATGGAAAAAACAAAGAATAACACAAGGAATGGTATAAAGAAAATGATAGAAGAATAAAAACTAAGAATTACCTAAAAGGTGATAAAAGGAAGAAACAGAATAACATAAAGAAAGCCAGAAAAAGTAGGTGATAGAAGGAAGAAACAATTAGGATAGGAAGAGGAAATAATAGAATGATAACAAGTACAACAAACAATAACATAAGAGATGATAGAAGAAGAAAAAAGAATAACATAAGGAAAGACAGATTGAGAAAATGATAATGAATAGATAATGGAAAGATAGAAGAGAAAATGAAAGATGGAAAAACAAAACATAACATAAGGAATGGTAGGAAGACAATGATATAAGAATAAAAACAAAGAATTACATAAGAAAAGCTGATAGAAGGAAGAAACAAAGAATAACATCAGGAAAGATAGAAAGACAAAGAGTGATAACAACCAACAATAACATAAAAGATGAAAGAAGAAGAGAAAAGAATAACATAAGGAACGAAAGAATAACATAAGGAACGACAGAAAGAGAAATGATAAAAAATAGATGAGCCTAGGAATAGATAATGGAAAGATAGAAGAGAAGAAAACAAAAAGGTCCTAATAGGTCATTTGGATCTGGGTTATTGTTCTCTTGAAGGGGAAATCCACCCTGATATGAAGTTGGTTTTGGTAAAAGCAAAAAAAATCGGAGAAACAAATTAGTAAAAGTTATCTAATTCAAATAGGAATTACAAAAGGAGAGAATTTTGAAGTTGTCATCACTGAAACACAAATTGGCAACAAGGTAGCAAGTATAGCGAGCTCCTCTCCAACTTGCTCTGTACATCAAATGTCATAAACTATCATTTTCTTAGTTATTAATGACCAAATAGACTTATTTCATGCAGAGGTTGTATAAAAGCATATTTGCAATGTTTATATTTAGGGGGAATGTATGATTGACAATGGCAATTTTCTTATGGCAAAATATGCATTTTTTAAATGGGAGGGGGCCTCACAATATCACTTACATATAGTTGCCAACTTGCGTTTGGTTGATTGCACTATCAAACATTCATTACTGTGTTATCAAACTTTCACTAACCTCTTATTTTTCTGCTTCTGTTCAAAACAACTAAATATCCGGGTGGATGTCCCTAATATGACATGTACTGAATACTAGAGAATACCAAGGTCAAACAAAATGTGATGTATGTTATTGCCTTGTTCATGTCTTGTGAACAGGTCCATATGCATGCATTTTCCAGCTTCGCTACATTTATTTTTACATCTTCATGTGGTTTTCCAACCATCCAGTTTCGCGCTTCTCTCTTTTCCTTTGAGTTAGTGTGACCCCCCCCCCCCCCCCCCCCCCCCCCCCCCCCCCCCCCCCCCCCCCCCCCCCCCCCCCCCCCCCCCCTGCTCTCTCTGTCTCACATGTATTTGGTCAGCTGTATTGTGTATTTTTCGTTTGATTCTTTATTCACTTTTGTTTTTTGCCTTTGTATGTTGTGTGTATTTTTTCTCCCTCTTTTCTTCTTCATTTTCAACAATTTTCTTTTATGATGATGCCTTACTCATGTTCCTTTCTATTAAAACCCTCCTACCCCCACCTCCCCCGTGCTATCTACATCTATCTACAAATTTCATGCATGTACATTTCATCTCTTTTCCTCTCTCCCACCCACTGTCCAAACTGCCTTTAAAGACCACCCAAGTAAAACAGAGAAAGTGACCACTGTAGACACGTAGCCTTTATTCATCGACAAGTTCTACAACACACATCTCTCTTTCTCTCTCTCTCTCTCTCTCTCTCTCTCTATCTGGAGACAAAATGTGTGGCCACCGTAGACAGGTGGCCTTTATGGAGAGGTGGCCAGTAAAGCAGGTCTGACTGTATTTCCTGAATGCCTCTTTCTTACACTCTCTTATCCACATCCACAGATTTGATCGCATGTTCCACGGAGGCCCGCTCTTCTGCGATATCACCTGGCACTCTGCAGGCAACCCTGGAGGACGCAAGGAGACCAGCTCCATGGAGATAGCCCGCACGATGCTCAACTACTGCGGCCTGGACACCATGCTTCATATGTGCTGCGTCAGTCAGTCGGCAGAGGTTATCACGAGGCATCTAGAGTGGGCCAAGGAGTGTGGCATCCGTAATATCTTGGCCCTGCGTGGAGGTAGGGATGTGTACTTCTTTTGGGGAAGAGGGGGGGGGGGGGGGGGGGGGGAGGGGGGGGGGAGGGGGGGGGGAGAGAATAATGATAAAGGAGCAGCGAGAGATGAAACGGAAAGACCCATTATCTGTGAAATAATAGAAGTAGTGACAATTTGCCAGTGTTTCCTTATTGGAATGCATCATTCAATTTGTTTATTCTTTTCATTTTCATGAAAAATATAGCAAAAGGAAATAAACAAGTACATGTATATATACATTCTAGGCAGAGAATGTTCAGTTCATACAATAAGTTCAAATGAAATGGGAAAACAAAAGAAAAGCCCATGGTGGCCTTATTTAATGGAAACGCATTATTCAGACACCTGTCTAGAAAAACTATTTCTCATTGGTTTCCTTTAGCAGTCGTTGTATGCCGAGTACTGCGTATGTATTTCTCGTATGATTGAGAAAATGGTCATATAATTGTTTTGCTCTATGGTATAAGTAATACCCAAGTCACACTGACTAGACTAATCAACATACAGACAAAAATGATACATCACCCCGAATGCCCCAGAAGCAGTCAGGTTTATAGTTAGTCTGGTGTTGTTACTGAAGTATAAAAAGGTGTTCGATGATGCTTTAAGAAAACAACCTTTTTCATTAAATAATATCGAATTATGTATGTTTATATTGCCATTTTCTTAAAATTAATCATAATGAGGCATCTCTTTTCTATACGTTGATAGATGTTCCCGGTCATACAGACGAATGGGAACCAACTCCAGGAGGGTTTAACTATGCTACTGATCTTGTCAAACATATACGAAAAGTCTTCGGGGATGATTTTGTCATCGCGGTAGCAGGTGAGTTGAAAATGCCCTTTTTTTTCTGCATGAATGTAATATTTGGATGGTGCACGTGTGATGCGATCCCCACCTCGTGTGAGCAGTGTTATTGTGTGAATGCATTCAGCAACTTTCTGCACCTCGTCTTCTAGAAATCTATGTTATTGTAGTTACTGCAGCCGATGTTTATTTGAGGCCACACTTACAGACAATTCTTATGGGTTCTACTTGGGTCACAAAGCGTGGACTTCACTTGATCAACGTTAAGGTTTGAACCAATGGCCTGCACAGATCAACCACTTAAAAAAAAACCTAACAAAAGATATTGTCATTTAACTCTGAATCTGAATGATTCCAAGCCTCTGAGAGCAATTTCAGGTAGGTCACTGTGTTTCACTGCTTGTGAGATTCAGTAGAGTACATAGAGTATTGATTGATCATTTCATCAAGTCCAGGCTCTGGGAACTAGAACAGGGGAGTGTTTCACGAAGACTAAGATCGACATTAAATTGGACTTAAATATGACAGGCCACTCATGCCACTGGTTGCTTTCACCATTGGTCTCTCGATTATGATCTTTAGATAATATTTTGTCCTTCAATAATGAAATATAAAAAAATGTAAATTCTGTAGATTTGTGACCATGATTTGTACGTCCCTTGAGAGTCCAATACCAGTAAATGGTGAGAGCAAACAGTGGCATGAACGGCCTGCCATAGTAAAGTCCAACTTAAAGTTGATCTTGGTCTTTGTGAAGCGACCCCCTGGAGAGTGTATAGCTGTCTAAACTGAGGTTTGATCCATTTCTTTGACAGGCTACCCATCTGGTCACCCTGATGCCATTAGCTACGAGGATGATCTCAAGTGCCTGAAAGAGAAGGTGGATGCAGGAGCAGACTTCATCATCACACAACTCTTCTTTGAAGCCAAGACATTCCTCAAATTTGTCCGAGACTGTCGGGCGATAGGAATCACTGTGCCCATCATTCCTGGAGTCATGCCAATACAGGTGAGATGATAGATCAGTCTCTGGATTTCCTTTAAAGCCCTACTGCACTACTTACAGCTACTTGCGCCCTTTATATAGCAAACAATGCCTAATCGGTGACCATTGGTCTCCCATGGTCCCCTCTTTCTTATGTTAATTGAGAGCTGGTTTAATGAGATAACCACCTTTCAGTGACCATGTAGGGAGGTCTAATCCCTCCTGGCAAGACTAGTGCAGATATGCAGATAGGCTTTAACTTTCCCTTTTAAACCTAAAAGAAAAACCTCAGAGAAAAAAGAAATCTTAGGGTATTCTAAATGATGGGATTCAATCTTTTACTGAGGGATTGATATTACATGATCCTTCTTGTGCCCTTCAACTAAGAAAGTAAAGGTGCCAAATGATGTTCATGTCTCATTGAATCTGATTCTTTGATGTCTGACTTGTAGTCCAGTGGTTTAAGCACTTGACTTGAAATTCAAAGGTGGTGGTTCAATCCCTGACACAGCACTAATGTCCTTTGGTAATGCATTAATCTTCATTTGCCACACTCGACCCAGGTGAGGTAAATGGGTACCTGGCAGGAATTAATCCCTTGAAATGCTGGAGCGCTGTAATGGCAGCTAGGCTCAAAGTTGGGGTAATAATTAGTGCGCCTCGGAATAGAATTTCTAGTTAGACGGCGATATAGCAATGCCTATTATTATTAATATTCTCTCCATTTCCAGGGTTATCATTCTCTAAGGAGTCTCGTAAAGCTGTCCAAGCTAGACGTTCCACAGGAGATCATGGATGTGATCGAACCTATCAAAGAGAACGATGCGGCAATCAGGAATTACGGTGTCCACCAGGCCGTCACTATGTGCAAAGAATTATTTGAAAGGTGAGAGGTTAGATCAGTAAAGTCTGCAGGCACTATAGGGGTTCAAACATTTGCACTGACATAAGACTTTGAGAAGCAAAATTTCTGCTTGATGATGGTTGGAACTTTTTATTTCTCAGCCTAGCAAAGATGGTACCAGAGGCAATATTTCTCCTCTTGTAGCTCTTTTCAACTTGAATCCTGCACATGGCTCCTTTTCAGGTCTTTGTTTTTCCCTCTTTGTCTCTCTTACCATCTGTCCATATCTGTCTGTACATGTATGTCCGTCCATAGACGTAATAGAAATGGACTTTTGACGGCAAGAGTAGTAAAAGTAATGATAGCTACCACCTGTTCTTATGTCTTACTTTCTTCTATGTTTTAAGTCTGACCGCAACGCTGCGGGCATGTTTTGATAAGCTCCGATAAGGGTCCTTTGGTCCTATGAGATCCACCGGGATTTTGCCGACCTCTATCGGCCAAGTCGCTTCGCACTGACCAATGCTTCCCACGATTTGCGCTTCTCATTTCATGAATGAATCGTGACAGGAGAGCCTTCTGCCCATGCGCAGCTAAATACTACGTCAATAGTGCCCCGGATGTAAACATGAGGTTTACGTCCTGTTCATGCTTGCCAATCTGTAAAAAAAGCCGTTGAAATCGGTGATTTATTAGATTTTTACGAATTTGTGTTGGTGTGTAGCAAACTCATCATATAAGCAAGGAAAGTCACCACAAGAGCTTACAAAATACAGTTTAAAAAGTGTTTTTTTCTCCTGTTTCCGTTAATTTCTCTGTGAAACCAACGACGTTGCGGTGATCACAAATCCTTCGTTTGTCGAATACAATCATTCGTTATTTGTTGCGTTTGCGTGCGTTTTGTTTATAGGCATTGGAAGAATGGGGTTGTTTTCGTGAGTGCTCAGAAAATCTGTGGTAATGCGTGACTTCTTCGCATCATGACCACTAAATTGCCGTGCCTTTGTCTAATCCAAATTGCACACGTAGTCCCATTGATAGAGATCGGCGGGTGCATGTTTTTTTCAAGTTATATTTTGGACTTGTTAATCCGAGAGTGACTGCTTTTTTTTTCTTCCCTCAGATTTTATCTTATTTTATCTTGATGTAGGCCTACTATATGTGTACGTTTTTTTTGAGAATCTAGGAATTAGGATAAATATCTGTGTCCGTAAATTTGGGAATTGACCATTGCAAAATATTCAACATTTCCGTCGTCTGCTATGTCGATATATGGACTGCCCATCATAATCATAAAGTTCTTCCTTATTTATGTCATCTAATGATAATCCTGCCCTTCTAATTACTTTATAAACAACACATGACTCATGAGTACGAGAAAAATATGTATTATGGAACAATACATACATCGAAATAAATAAATAATTGTTAGTATAAATACAACGCTGAAAACAATAACAACAATATCGTCAGGCACAAAGACGAAAACATGTTCGCTACGACCGCATGGCGGAGAGCGCTCATACTATTTAACACTAGGTTCTCAACGATTTGAAGGAGCAGCGAACAACCCCAAATCGCGAGCTTGCTGTTGCGATTATGAAAGATTGCGCAAGTGATCGCATCCAGCTGTCGGGTTGCGGTGGGACCACCGCTGGGTTTTTGCATCGGCGCGAAATTTAAACCTTGCCGGTGGAACTCATAGGATCAAAGAAACTGCTTCGTCGATAGTCCATTCTATTACGTCTATGGTCCGTCTGTCTCTATTTCTCTCTTTCTCTCTCTCTCTCTCTCTGACTTTCTCTCTCCCTACCTTTATCTCTTATCATTTGAAAAATATCTATCACAATCTATCACAAAGCCAATCCGTCTAGATAATGGAAAAATAAATTTAATGCATGCAATGTTACTTTACATTGTTGCCTAAAATCAGCTTTATTTGAGTAGGGTCATTCTTAATGTGCCATTAACCCACCATGATCTTTGATTTAAGTAAAGTCACACTTCATTGTTTTTGGTTTCAGTGGGGAAGTGTTTGGAATCCATATCTACACCCTCAACCGTGAAGTGGCGACCATCGAGATCCTGTCGTCTCTGGGATTATGGTGCGGCGAGCCCAAGAGACCGCTCCCCTGGAAGACCACCGCCAACCTCAAGCGAAAGCAGGAGGACGTCCGTCCAATCTTCTGGGCCTCCAGGCCCAAGAGCTACGTCTACAGGACGCAGGAGTGGGACGAGTTCCCCAACGGCCGCTGGGGCGATTCCTCATCCCCTGCCTTTGGTGAGCTGAAGGACTACCATCTCTTCTACCTGGCTAGCAAGTCCAACCAGAAACAGTTACAGACCATGTGGGGTGAGGAGATCACCTGCGTGGAGGACGTCAGCGAGATCTTCACCTGTTACCTGTCGGGAGAACCCAACAGATATGGCAACAAAGTAAGTAGATTAAAGCCCCACTGTACTACTTTTAGCTACTTGCTCCCTCTATATAGAAAATAATGCCTAATCGGTGACCGTTGGTCCCCCATGATCCTCTTTTTCTTATGTTAATTGAGAACTAAGTTGATGAGATAACCACCTGTCCAGTGACCTTACAGGGTGGTCTAATCCCTCCTATAAACTAGTACAGATGGCCTTTAAACTTGATATCTGACTGATGATTAGGACTGAGGAAAGCTTAGCTAAGAAATTCTACAGGATTTAGGAATCCTCAGCCAAAATGAGCATTGACCTCTGACATGTCATATGTCAACATTTAGATTTGAAAATTGCTTAAATTAAGGACAGCCTAGTCGTGGACCAAAAGGATATACTGCTTAGTTTGAATGCTGAAAGGTGGTTTTATACTGGTATCTTGGGTGATCTAAGAATTCACCATTTCAAATATTTAGAATTGTCATTTGGGTCTTATTGACAACAAGATGGCTAACTTCTTACAATAAATCATTACTACTCTTTGTACCATTTTAGCAAAACAAATCAAAACTGTTTATTAAAGGGCAAGTCTTATTAGTTATCAGATTTTGCTCAAACTATTTTTGATTGGTTTGACTGATTTTTCCGCTTCTATTGAAAGTAAGTTATTTTTGGAGTGGACTTGTACTTTAAGCCAGTGTATCATTCTACCGCCCACGCAGGTCACACGCTTCCCGTGGAACGATGATGAGGTGTCCTCTGAGACGATGCGGGTGTCCTCCCAGTTGGTGTCCATGAACAAGCGTGGCGTCCTCACTATCAACTCCCAGCCCAACGTCAACGGCGAACCGTCCTCCGACCCGGTGGTAGGATGGGGGGCACCTAACGGTTATGTCTACCAAAAGGTAACATAAGCCTGTTGACTGAGGCTCTTTTTAACTGGCCTGACAGGTACTGTGTTTCGGTGGTGTATGGTAAAGTAGCAGTACGGTAGGACTACGGTATACTTATATGCTACTCATCATTGTATGCTCTGCCTCTTGCAGTTAACCTTGTCATATTGCCATACTTTTTTTTTTACCATCACATACTTTTGCGACAGTTACCCCATGGCCGTTTCCTATTCTAACTAAAGTCCTCACTTCATTCTGGGATCAAACGGTTCACCTAACCCCAAGCCTTACCCAAACCCTAACTTTTAACCTTAATTTAAACCTTATTAAGAACTCAACCCTAACCCCAAACCTTACCTTTAACCGAAGGAAGACCCTTAACCTAGCCTCAAACCTTGACTTGGACATAATTCAGAACCTAAACCTAAACCTAACCCTAATGCTTAACCTTACTTTAAACCTAATTGAGAGCCTAACACTTAATCATAACATACACCTAATTAAGACCCTGAACCTAACACTTGACTTAAATTTTAGATGATCAAGACCCTAACTGTTATGCCCAATTAACTTCAAACCTAATGGAGACCCTAACCCCAACGCTAAACCTATCATATAACACAATGACAGCCCTAACCCTAATAAATAATTGCAGAAATAAATCCTGGAGTAAAATTCACCAAAGAAAGTGTCCAATCATCCTTTTTATTTGCCATATTGTCAAACCATTTCTACCTCCTGTGTTTCTTCATTTTACGGAAAAAGGAGTGGCTGCTAATTTTTGAAAGAAATGGAAAAAGTTAATCAGGAAGTTTGAATCTTTATTTCGCCTTCTTAAATCAGTAGGTATTGATTAAATTGCCTGGAAAGGTGTTCTTAGTTGCTTACTAACAAGCATTTATGCTTTCTTAGCAGTCAGGTAAAATAACCACCACTACTGCTACTACATCCTTTCTCTTTCAGATTTCTTAGTCAGTCTTACTTTCCCAAACTGTTTCTATCTCCATTTTCCCCCCAAGCCGTTACTGGTATCTCTTTCTCCATATATATTACTGTCTTTCATGTTCTCCCTGGTATTTCATTTTTTGTGTCCATGAACGAAGGATTATCAGTTTATTTTGGGAACATGGAATAATTTTTTTCTCCATCTGTGTTACCTATACATCAGGCCAAAGAATTTATTCAATTATGTTGCCCTCTTTATGTTTGCAATTATGCCCCATCACTTGCGCCTTTCCTACAAAAATTTCACGGGGGGATTTCATCTAGCTTTCTGATGACAGCAATGCCTGTGATAAAATAGCCTCTACGTTTTGGTTTAACATGCTGTTCTTTTAAACAAATAAGATTGTGAAAGTTACCCACGAGCAGCACAATTGTAGTAATGAGTGCTGAAATCTTGCATATTTCCCTAAAGATAATTAGCCAATGTTAACTCTGTGTTATCAACAATTAATGCAATGCAATAATAATAAATACAATTTTTTGACATGGATAGCATGCTGCTTCATTAATCCCTCCAAAAGAAACAAAGTGTTGCAATAATAGGGTACATCCTCATTGAGATTCCCAGTGATTATGAGATAGTTTAGGGATAATTGATGTAGGGAAATAATGTGCAATGTTTAGGTCTCCGAAGCACAACAATTAACATTCCTCAATTAACATTTGCCCAATAGATAGAATCCTGTGCTTCTAATATATTTAGTTTTCTCATTTCCCCCTCTAATCCTAATTTTTGTCTTCTTCATTTCCACAGGCGTACCTTGAATTCTTTTGCTCACGCGAGAACGTTGCTGCCTTGCTGCATATACTCCAGGACTACCCGCTAGTCAACTACCATGTCGTCAATGCTAAGGTTTGTATGGTAATTGCTCATGCAAGGGCTAAACCTAAACGACTCCCATTGTTTACAAATCATGTAAATGTAAATTGAAGTTTGCCCTCTATGGGCAGTATAGTACATCGTCCTCTTTGAGACGCAACCGTGGCAGCCAAGTAATGGGTGATCCGACATTTGCTCTAGCGACTATTGCTCCGGGCTTTTTTTATTGTCAAAGATACTTGTATAGGGTTCGGTTTGCAGTTGGCTCTTAATTTCAGTTTTAGGGTTAGTGTTAGATATTGCGTCGGGTCCAGAGGTGAAGATCAGAAATTTGATTACCGGTAGTGTAGAACATTGACTGTGGAGCAACTGTCACATTAGCATACATGTTTGTTGAACCAAGCAATAAAGCATTAATTATTTATCAAGTCTTTTGATTATGTAACTGGCTTTCTTAAGTGCATTGGCATGGTGACAGCGGTGGGATATGTACCCATGCCATTGGAATGACCTGTGCCTAAAACAGTAAAACTTGTATGGTGCAAATCATATTTCAGTAGTATTTTTCGATGAGGATGACTATTTGAGGCATGTTCGCGGTAATGGTACATGGGAAGAAATTATGACCAGGGAATAATGACTTGTAAACTACATGTAAATTGAAGTATACTTTAGGAAAACATTACATTCAGTGTAGATTGTTTCATAAATTTAACTTTAATATATTCATTTTGTGATTACAAATATGTGCTTTGTACATCTACATGTCATTTTCGCTTTCTGTACAGGGCACTGAGACCATAACGAATACTGACCGTCTCAAGCCGAACGCTGTGACCTGGGGAGTGTTCCCTGGGGCAGAGGTCAAACAACCCACCGTCGTTGACCCGATCAGCTTCATGTCATGGAAGGTCAGTGTACTATCATATTTATTGTTACATCTCATTATTTTAGAGTTATGTTTTCTACATCAATGTTCAGATTTAAGCTCGAAAGAGAAAATGCAAGTGATTTACAAAAGATATATACTTATTTTATTACAGGTTATTATTAGTTTCATAGATGTTAAAATTCTTCTTGGGCCCGGTGCAATTCTGCTTGATATTGATACAGGAAAAAAAAACTAAATGCAGAGGGATCAGCTACATGTATTTGGTAAAATCAATATATTTATATAATATCGGATGGCTTTGAGTGTGATACAAGAATATATTGCTCGAGCTATGACAATATTGGACGAGTCAAAGACGAGTCTAATATTGTCTTAGCGAGAGCAATATATTCTTGTATCATACAAAAACATAGCCATACAATATTATTATTATCTGTATTAGTCTGACTAGCGAAATAAGATAATTTGACTTACTTCTGTAAATATGGCTTTGTTTTCGTGTCGTATCGATATGATATTGATATCGATAGTTGAAGTTCCTGGATGACTGATCAATACGAAAACAATATTGGTCAGTCATCTGGGTACTGCGCTAAAGATATTGAATACACTGATTTATTGTACCACTGGGAATCCTTATATAGATAATAATTGCTTTTATTTAAAATCTGAATTATTCCCCCTCCCCCTCCCTTTTGACTTCTTGTAGGACGAAGCATTCGGCTTGTGGTTAGAATCATGGAGGACCCTCTACAAGGAAGGCTCCCCCTCCTGGCACGTCATCCAGTTCATCCACGACACCTACTTCCTGGTGAACCTCGTCGACAACGACTACGTCAAAGGCAACGTCCTGTTCGAGATCATCGAGCGTATGCTGGAGAGGTGTGGGAACTCCAAGGGAGACTGCCGAGTAGGAGATATCGAAGATGAGTGCATAGCCACTAAGAGACTGAAGGTAGAGTGTTCGTTCTTTTAAAGAGACATAGAAGTGGGTTCCCACTGGCAATTTTAGATAGATATAGATATTTAATTTATTGTGTTCTTCCAAAGCAAAAGAAGAAACTTTCCTTCCAGGTGATCATACATAGAATTACACAACTTATACAAAATTTATAATATAAATACAATCATATCAAAATATCAAATGCATACAAATAACGAATAAATAAATAATACATACTTATAATACAAATTACATAAAACATAAGGATAAAGGGAAGAAGACAAAAAGGGAGAAATAGAGAATTTGACACTGTTTGTGTGTTTACCAAATAACAGGTGTTGTCAATCACCAGGATTACCATTCAGTTTTATGACCAACAGGCCTTCTCTCATACTTTGACTTTCCCTCATCCGAAGACTCTCTGAGAGACTAGGATATATTTCTTGATGGGCCTACAGGTTTGTTTTTTGCAGACTTGTACGCCCATTAATGGTATTTCCACCACGTCTGGTGTCAGCAAATACTTGCCTTCTACACTTTGAAACCGACGCCCCATTCCTTTAAATGATTATGAACATGATAATAATTGGATTTATATAGCTTCTTTTCTGAAGGATACAGTGCACTGCCCCTTAGTATATGAATAAATTAAGAGAAATTGTAGATGATTATGTTTTCAGATGGTTTTTGAAGAAGTCAAGTTAAATACAATTTCATAGAAATGCAGGGAGTTGGTTCCATAGGCATTGATCAAACGATTGCCATGATTAGAAGCCAGCATGTTTGGGGAATTTCGGGAATAAAAAAGGAAAGGTGATGTAGAGTAACCTTAATTATAGTTGAACCTGCTATAACAACCATCTCTATCAAATCACCTTTTTGGCCCCAGTGAACAATATTTTCATTGATAAGCTTTCTAAAGGTACCAGTACATTAAGACGCCCTAGCAATAGAGACCGATTTTCTTGTCTTGCTAGAGCGGTCTTTATATCCAGGTCTCACTTTACCTTCTCTGTTTTATATTCAAAAGATTTCCTTTTTTAAATCCTTGATTTATCTCTATGTGTGAATGTGAATGTGTTATCATTTTGGAGAGTGTTTCTCTTGTATCCTCAAGGAAAAACTATGTGTTAAATGTGCTTTTTTGTTGTTGGTTTGTTATGCATTTACAATTGCTTTTTAAATCTACATGTAACGATATAGATATGTTAATATTATTATTATTATTATTAATCATGATTCTTAAACCTTCTTTCTGAAAATGTCATTTACCAGGTCTCTGAAGAGGAGATGAGCTTGTCCAACGACTGATGACCGCACTGATGACCGCCATTGCTGGAGGACAGATATTGTCTGTCCAGAGGATCTGAAATACAATTGATGCAGCTTTGCATTTCTCACAGTCGGTAGCTTGGGGGTTTAGAATCTGAACCGATGTGTTTAATAAGCAGGAGCCACATTCACACTTCTGAAATAGGAGCACTTTGATCTAATACAGTCAAACCTGTCTATAGTGACTGCCCAAGGGAAACACAAAAAAAGTGGCCTTTGTATACAGGTTCCTTTAGTACATGATTCAATGAGAAACCATTTTCAAGGGAAACAACAAATGTGGCCTTTGTAGACAGGTGGTCACTAAAGCAGGTTTGACTGTAGCTGGATGGCCCTTATAATCACGGTCATGAAAGGAGATCAGTCTCTGGCTCTAGGGGTTTGAAACCTTGGTCTTGGTCTTGGTCTTGACCCAAGGACCTAATGCGAACGAAATAAACTCAGCAGATTTCATCTTGGGCCCCGTTTCATAAAACTTGTGATCAATAACAGGTAACTGTTATAAGTTACTGAAATCGTGGAATTTGATTGGCTTAGATCAAATTTGTCATAGAAATTTAGCATTTGATAACAAGTTTGATGAAACGGGGCCCTGGTCTTGGGACCCATGACTTGTGGAAGCCAATATATAGGTAGCCAGTGGTATGTAACATTGCCAAAGAGCCTCAAACCTGCCATGTAAAATATAACCAAAATGTATATAAGCATGAAAGAATTACTGTGCTTAGTGTGAAAGCAAATGACTTATCCTACTTAAGTGCTCTTCTCGGTCTCTTTTACTAGGCTAGGATGCTCTTATTTCATAGTGTGAATGGTCGCTATTCATCGAGTTGAATGCATGGTTCGAATCCGTAAAGTAGACTGTGACGCTGCAAACACTTGCCATGTTGAAATAAGGTTGTCCCAATGCAATGCATTGGGACTAGTTGGGTTATTAAGTTCGCAAAAAACAAAATCAAACAAATAATCTCTGATTTTGAATCATTATTTATTTGAGAAAGTCAGTGATTTGAATCAATACATTGATTGAATAATCAAGATTGTTGAGTAAAATTGTGATTTTTCTTTTTTCTCACTAAAAATACCCACTGTGGTTTAGTATGCCAATAAAGAGTGATAAAGAGTGATAAATTGATAGATTATTTATTGTGCTCCTTGTCGTCAGTCACATACATGTATGTTTGTAAATTTTCACACAATGTTTTCTTTTTGGCAGTATATTTATTTATCAAATGTTTTAATGCATATGTTTGCAGTAAGTGAATGAAAGATGTTTACCCTGGTATGAAAAGTGGATGTGGTGCATAAAATCAAATGAATTTCAGATGTCTATTCATGAAAATCGAAAGTATCGTATTAGGTGAATGCCGTTGAAGATGGAGTTATCAACAAACTCGTACTCGCTGGGCGTCTTAATTCAGGGATCACACAATCTTCGGTTGACAGGGAGTAAGTAGGGGGAGATTGCATAGCGCTGGAGGACATTGTTAAAATTAAATCGGCCAGATTCTGGACTAGAATGATGCAAGTAGTGGATTAGAATGTACTAATATAAATTCGCATTTTTATGCTTTTTCATTTATATATTTTATTTTTCAAATAGTTCTTGTGTACATGTCTTATGTATCCTTCTAGTGCTTTGACAAGAATTAAAATCTACATAGTACAGGGAAACTAAAAACCAGTGTTAATTATAGTTGTTTTCAGCTGTTGCAATGCTTAAAAGCTCTATACGTTTTATGTTGTCCAAACTGTCTTTAAAACACACATTGTATATAGATGAATGTACATAATTATCGTCCCTATTTTCATGAAGTGACGGTAGTGAGGAAAATCGTAATGCAAAGTGAATGCGATTTTTATTCACTACCGTCACTTCGTGAAAATAGGGACGATATATTACCGTTTAGAATAGGAATTTTTTTTTTAATTATTCAATGTTTCTTTGTTTTCAACCTACTATAATTTGTTTCATTTCTGTAACATTACTTTAAATAGTGTAAAAACATATTTGATTTATGTTATTATTGTTGTTGGTGAATAAAATCACTCACTCATTCAATCTATCCATCCATAAACCAACCCTCTGTTTGGAATGTTTTGATATGTCCTTGCTTTTCTAAAAATTCTATGTAAAAAATAAAAAATAATTTGAATATGCCCACTGGATTTTGCGTTATACCTTTTAAAAGGATTTAAATATATTTGTTGGTATTTTTTTGCCATGTACTGAACTATTTTGTATATTTATTTCTACTAATGTGAATTGTGAACATAGAGTTTGCTAATGAAATATCTTACTTATAACATGGAGAAATCTAGCTTGCATATACTTCACTGATTTTAATTCTTGAGGAATTTCTTATGTTAATTATATTTTTCTTAAATATAATTGAATAGCCACTGTATTCAAATACCACCAATAATAAGAATAATTCTCTTATTTGTTTTATGTCGAGGAAGATTATTGGGTATAGTCTTATGTACAAATGAGAGGAGATGGAAGATTTATCACATCAACTTTTGTTTTAATTATTCAAGCACTTCTTCTTTTTTTAATGTTGGGGTAATGTGCTTTATCAAGTCCCAAGCAGCAAATTTGTTACCTTGTATTTTTCATCAAGCACATGAACCATTTTTCAGGCATATATCAGGGAAATTCTCCCTATATGTTCTTTAATGGTTTCTTTATAGTACCTTACAATTTGCTCAAAGGCTAAATTGAACTTTCTATTCTTTGTGTTTTTACCCACCTGACTATTCATCAGACTTCAGAACGATTTTATGTTTTAGTACAGAATTGATTTGTCGTATGAAACCACTATAAAGCCTACTCCCATTATATGTCTCATTATTTTAGGGGTGCTAGGGTAATTTTTTAACATGGTATTTTATCCAGTGACTAAAGCATTAACTCACTGCACTGGTGCAAGAATAAGAGATGATTGTAAATAATAGTTTCAGCAGTATTATGTACATGTTTCTTTGATGAATGTGGATTATGTGCCATTTCCACTGACATGTGAATGTGTTATTGTGTGATTATATAATGCACCATTGTATCAATATATCATTAAAAAGATATTAAAGTGCGAAGAAAAGAGAAAAGTAAATGTATGAAGGTGAATAGTATCAGATTTCATTATTCAATAATTATTAATTGAGCTGTTGATATTATTTTCAATTTTTCAGATTTGTATACGAAACCTGCATATCGTATTGAAATTAAATTGGCTGGTATGTTAATTTCATAATGTTTGGTTCAGGCCTTCTAACAATATTAGACAAATAAATAATGTAATTTAGCACCATGCATACATATTCATTCTGAAGATGAATTGTGGTGTTGGATATATACTGATGTAATCGAGGGTTATACCCCTTTTCTGGTCAGAAGCTAATTAATTTTATTGATATTGTAACTCATTTTATCAGTATTTTGCATCTTTTTCTAAAAGAAAATAAATACCAGTCGATATTGACTGAAACTCCATGCATATAGCCTGTATAGTGTTAATTTCTTGTCTAAAGCTCGAGGAAAAGAAAGATAAGAGTTGAGCTAATATTGATTTTGAAAGTACCATGCGCAGCCCGGCCTTATAATATTGGAATTGTGGACTGCAATATCTCTTCACATAATTTTTGACTGAAACCAAGTTTGAAACATCTTTTTCCTGGTTTTTTTTTGTCTCCCCCCCCCCCGAGAAGGGTGCTATAGTGCATTTCAAGTAATATTCCTACCAGGTACATTATACCTGAGCTGTGCTCAAAAATGTATATTAACGTCTTGCTAAAGGACGTTAGTCCTTATTTAGATCTATGGCAGATATGATAGTGAGCGAGTGAATGAGAGAGCAAGTAAGCTTTTTTTTTTTTGGGGGGGGGGGGGGGGTGAAGGTCCTAGATGTTTCTAAAATTGTTTGACCATATACATGAGCCAGATTAGGTCGACTAATGCATTCAGATAACCACTCCAGCAAAGCATAGAGAGTCAATGCTAATGCGTATTGACCTTTAACACTGCACTGCACTACGTGTAAATAGGCAGTATTTGGATACATGAATAGTCAATACACTCATAACACACAGATGCAGACAATTATGCCGATGCAGTTGATCGGCATGTTTGACAGTAGACTCACAATTTGAATTTTTTAATTATTCTTTCTAACATCGGAAAGATAAACAAATAGTATTTTACTGCTATTTAGGTGTCATCAATCGTCACTAAAGTAACGATTTTGAGTGAAATCAGTTGAGTTTCGTACAGTGGTGTTTGAAATGTTGAGAATCAACAGCATAGCTTTTAATACACAGCCAGGATAGTAATGCAGCTATGTGTGGGTCCGTCGCGACGCGTCGGCGTTGACGTGTGTTTTTTTAAGAGCACACAAATCAGCGTATGGGACTGAATATAAATTTACGTTCTGAAATCGTTGTTTTACGGGCAATTTTTCGTATGCTGGGTTGAGCAATTGGCCTAAACATTATAAAAATCTCGGGAAATTACTTCGGTGAATCGAAATGTAAGCAAATATTTTATTTGGGTAAAGATACTTATTTTCGATACGTATCTAATTTCATTAACGTAAATGCCCCTCAATGGTCGTGCGAAGCGTTGGTGGTATAATGGTTAGCATAGTTGCCTTCCAAGCAATTGATCCGGGTTCGATTCCCGGCCAACGCAGATGGCATATAATTTTTGTTTCACCTTCCTCTGTTTTTTAATACACATTACTCTAATTATTACTTTCACTTTCTTATTTTCACACATTTCACTGCTTTTATGCCATTTTAATATCATTTAAAAGTAGTTAAAGTACCAGTATAGGCAATACCATACTTTTTTAATACACATCACTTTAATTGTCACGTTCACTTTCTTATTCTTATGCGATTCACTGCTCTTATCCCATTTTAATATTATACAAAAGTAGGTAGTACCGTACAATAATTTTGCTAACAGTACAAGTATTTATAGGCCTACCTATTTTCCTTGTCGGCTCAATACTCTTTATACAACTAAATACTTTATCTCTCAGTCAGTCACCTCCTTCTAAAAAAAGGATCTGCATGCACACACCAATCATATTAAGATTTATCCAAAGATTTTTTTTTTCTTCTTCAATTCATACTTTCACCACTAAATTCTAAACTATAGTAATAGTCTTTATTGTACTCCCAGTTTGACTGAGATTGACTGCTCGATCAGCCATAGATATTAAAATGGAGAAAAACTCAAATACTTATATACGAAGCATTTCCAAATACGTCTTCTTATACAAAAACACCTTCCTGGACAATTAAATCCACATTTAGTGCAATTGGCTGAATAAAAATGAATCATCATTTATTGATTTGTCAAAACATATATATATACTATATGACTGAAATACTGGCATAAAATAAGGATTAAAATAATCTAATTGAAATATGTGAAGTAAAACACTATAGAAAAATATTTTGGTAAAATAATAATAATTATATTTGAAAGTTGCATAGCCACAAGGGCAAAAAAGTATATATCATGAGTTGGTGATGCTAAATGAATACTGAAGAACATATTAATAGCTTTCAGAACTCTTCCTCACTTGATAATGCCGTTCACTACAAATGAGTATTGTGTTATTTTGATACTGAGGGGTAAGAGATATTCAAGTTTCTGATTCATTTCTTTAGCTGCATGCATACATGATGCAAAATCAATCCTATATTTCATGGACATATAGCAAGACAGTTTATTGCCATTTGGTCTACACTCAGTTCGTCTACTACCTCAATCAGTCTATTCCCATATGGTCTACACCCAGTCTGTTTAGGCCTATGCTATCCACATGGTCTAATAATCAATTGGTCTAATGATCATTTGGTCTAATTGTCATTTAGTCTAATTCCCAGTTTGTCTAATGCCCATTTTGTCTTCTATCCATGTGGTGTAATAATCATTTAATCATAAATAATGATAATCATGAAATGATAAATAGACCTCACAGATAGTAGACAAAAAGGGCATTAGACAAATGGTTTGACCATATGGAAATTAGACCAAATGATTATTAGACCAAATGATAAGAAGACAAAATAATTATTAGACCATGTGGATAGTACCGGTAAGGAAGGGCTGGGTGTAGACTAATTGAGTAGTAGATGAACTGGTTGTAGACCAACGGCATTTCACCAGCAAGTCAACCCCCAAATAAAATTGTTACATAATATTGCATTCATTGTATTAACATGTTTCACATAATGCCTGTCTATTGAACACTGATAAAAACCCGTCTTTGAAACCCATGGAATGACAAATTTGCTTGGAAACATATATATATATCATAAAAACTATCATAAAAATCATCATTATTCTAGACCTACCGTCTTCTTATCTCTACATTATAAATCTAGTTAATAATGAAAGACAAAAAATGAAAAATAATCACTGTGTCAATCATTTCATGAGTTTATATACAAGGCAAATGTACACACGTAAATAAAAGTTCAAGCACAGTTCATAGTGTGAAATATATTTGATACATTGTCACAGAATAGCAGTTGATTTAAAAACATATACATCGTTATCTTGAGTTTGACACCTTTTCAAACAATAAGTTACAGATCTCTTTTCCTGTATTACACAATAACAAAAGTAGAATGTAGATTTGTGTATCATTCATGAATACAGAAATTGCATTCACTTTTTGGTGCAACAATAATTTATTTTCATATATGAATATAATGTCAAAGATATTACAAATCTAAAACATGGATATATATGTGTATATCTGCTCTACATCATGATCTGGCTGGATATCAATTTAAACGTTATACTTTAAGCATAGTTTTGCTCACAAATATACAGTATAAAGAAAAAGGGGGGGGGGATAAATTCCTCCAATATTTGACTAAGGGGGGATGGCCAATGTAATGTAATTAAAAAATTAAGACTGATATATTTTGAGGTATATAATAGACATAAAATATATGACATACAGTTACAGAATCTATAATTTTTGCATTTATGTTGTACATAATCATACTATGGCAGCACAGCTAAAGCCGGGGAAATAATCTCCAAGTTTGGAAGCGCTTAGTGATTCTAATAAGCGTTATATAAAAACTGAATATTATTATTAAAATCATTATTACTAGCACCCAGATATTGTGGAGGTGTTGTGGTTTAGTGGTTCATTTACTTGATTCTCAATCCAAGGGGTGAGGGTTAAAATCAAAGCCCTGCACTATGAAACGTCTTCTGGCGAGACATTTATCCACATTTGCCACTCTCAATCCAGGTGTAAATGGGTACCTGGCAAGTGCTAGGGGTAATACAGATTGCAGGGCCCTTTGGAAGATCGATGCTGATGAGGGTTCCCTGGGTAAACAATATCATCATTACATTGTATTTCATTATATCATACTTGGAGCACAGCGTTGGCCGCATATACACTTCTGACTGAGCAAATGTACAAATTACCCCTAAATATCCACAGATCTTTTAAAAATGGAGAACTCCCACTTTGTGCACTTAAGAATAATCACTGCCAAAGTGGTGGAGCTGCTTCATGGATACCTTTTGTTTGCCCTCTTAAAAAGCATACTTTCCCATCTATTTATCACAGATTGTGCTGTCTGTGCATAAATGAACAGTGATTACATCACTTTTGTGAGCACGTAACCAGCACTCCTCTTGAATGGGTTTCAGTGCAAATCAAGGGTTCAGCGATAGAAAGACGTAACTCAAGATTTTGCCAAAATGAGTATCTGATATTAAAATGTTCAGAAAAATGTGGGCTTTCCAGGAAACCCAACCATTGATGTCAATGGCTAGTGAAACATAGACTTAACTCCGGCCCAAGCGCTCCGTGACACATAAACAATTTTTTCTCAAAATGGCCAAAATGGAATTACATCTTTGTGTCACTGAACCCTCTAAATGACCTTTATCTGCCGATGTACAGATAGTATCTCTAAACTAGCTCTCTTATTTACATTGTACTTCATCGAGGCAAGAATTATCACTATGACCTATGACCTCTGACCTCCTGTTAGGGTATAATAATAACCCTTCTTATTGAGGAGTTCTTGATGACTCCCGCTCTCGACGACGACCCCGTCTCTGATAACTGCGATGATGTCCGCGTTCTGAATCGTGGAGAGACGATGGGCAATGACGATGGATGTCCGGCCTTCTACGGCAGCGTCCAAAGCCTCTTGTACAATCTAACAGAGCAAGAAGAGGTGATTCATCATAAGAAATTAAATGTTTGGTTGATGTACATGTTAGGAGTAAAATGTAGTACAAGTTCTTATTTACTTGTTGGTAATACTTAACTTTTGAAAAAACATATTAAAAAACCAATTTTGGAAATGCCCCCATCTCAAAAAATGAAATGGAAGCTCTTATTACCATTCATGTGAAAGATGTGTTTTAACTAAACCATAATAATACAAATTTTGCTGGGAAACCGCCTACCAATTGATATATTTGGCAAAGTATTATATCTATCCGGACCGGACAGATATGGCCTATGTGTTGTGTAGTCCCTTATACATCTTTCCGTGTACAGTGCTTTTAATTTTCCCAAGACTGGGCCAAATTTCTTATCATTTTGATGATTCCAGAACCTTGCAGTACACACCAATACTTATATGCTAGATGATCAACCTTTTCTGATCGATTTCACAACGTTTCTTTCACAATGCAATCGCTTGACCAGAACTGGTCTTTACCTTTAATGTTGATTAAATCGTTCAAAATGTCAATGGATGATGGGTAAAAGTATGGAATTCCAACACAGACATTAACACAGAGAGACACGCCAGAGGGCAGGGTATAATCTAACCTTAAATACAATGAAATCTGTATAGAAAGACTGCCACAAGGAAAACAACAAATTGTTTATGGGAGGCAGGTTGTTTTATACTTCACTTTATATCTCTACAGGTGGTCGCTAAAGCAGAATCAATTGCAGGTTTGATTGCAGGTTTGATTGCAGATTTGATTGAAGGTTTGATAGCAGGTTTAATTGCAGGTTTGATTTGCAGGTGTGATAGCAGATTTGATTGCAGGTTTGATTGCAGGTTTGATTGCAGGTTTGATTGCAGGATTGACCCTCTATTGGTTCCTAGAAGCCAGTATATGTGTAAGACAAGAGTACTAGTTTAGTTACCTTTTCGCTCTCTGTATCAAGTGCTGAGGTAGCTTCATCCAGGAGTAGGATACGAGGATTTCTAGCCAGAGCTCTGGCGATGGCTACTCTCTGCTTCTGACCACCTGATAACTGAGCTCCTTTCTCTCCTACCAATGTGTCATAACCCTAGAAATAAGAGGGAAAAGGGTTTCACGTAAGTAATCTGTTTGTGTAGTGGTTCATTCATGGTCATACATGTTAGTTTCAATGACAAATCATTTTTACTTTATTTAATTACAAAATGGCAAATTCTTAACTACATACAAGAAGGAGCATTTAAGAGGAAGGGGGAAGGAGGGAGGGAGACAAAGGAGGAGGAAGAAGAAGGGAGGCAGAAGGGGGAGGAAGAGGAAAGAAGGAGAAAGAAGGAGAAGGAAGGAGAAAAGGAGCAAAAAGGAGGAGCATGGAAGAGGACGGAGGAAAGAGGGAGGGGAACAAAGGAGAAGGAAGAAGAAGGGAGGAAAAAGGGGAGGAAAAGGAAAGAAGGTGAAAGGAGAAGAAAGGGAAAGATTGAGGAAGGATAAAAGGAGGAAAGGGAGGAAGAGGCCTATGTTTTATCTTTTATCATTTTTTATCATCTTTTACCACTTGGAATTGCATATATTCGTGTGAATCATCTCAATATGTTGCTATTCTTCTGCTGAGCTGATATCCAGTATTCTTGCCACTTCTCTAGAACTTATATCGTAAGTTTATATATTGCATGTTTTTTACGACTCTTCGTCTCCGATATACGTAGTCCCAGACATGGCAAGTAAAGTACGTTCGAATAAATATCATGGTAAACCTGGAGAAAAAACTTTTAAGTACAAACTGCCCAAAGGGATTACAAGTGGAAGTATTTCCTTTTCACTCAGCCTAATTTTCAATTGCCATAAATCTGTGCCCCAGGGACTTTCGCCGACAGACTTTTATTTGGGCGAACTATCACAAATTTATCCCGATTTGAACATTGAGATAGGTCGCCATTTTGTAATCATCGACGAACCTGATCGTACGAACCATTCAACATCTTCAATGTCTAACAATAGTTCTATTGTCAGTATCAACAATGATGAAAGCACTCAAAGTGAGGATCACGACCCTGTACGAAACTGCATGTTATGTAACTTGATGTGTGACGTAACAGAGAGCATTTGTATGAAATGCAGATGTATTAATCAACGACTTGATCAACTTACAATGGATATGAAACAGGTTAAGCACGCCATTGTCGCTATGCTTGACAACCCACAGTCAAACACGTCATCATCTCAACGACCTCCATTTTCAAGCACCCACCAAACGTCACAACCGTCACCCCCAGGCACATCCAGTCTACCAGTCCATCCTCCAAGGCCACGGAAGGGACCATCATCATCATCTCAACCCCCTGGGATACCATCTCGATCTTCTTTTCCTCAGGCTGCCCCAGCTCCCGTACCCTCCCAAGCCGCCACAGCTGAACCCTACCAGTACGCCTTCCCTCCGCTACGCCCATCGAGCTACATTAATCCTCCATACCCACCAAAACCTCATCCGAACGCCTACGCACCATCGCATTATCTTTCACCCCCGAGCCACCCCCAGCCACCACGCCCCACATTTCAACCATCAATGTTCACGCCAAGACAACGATCAACTACCGCGACGCGTTTTGGTCCCTATGGAAACAGAGCATATGCATCAGTAGTCCGCGAATCATCTACAATGTACGGGACATGTTGCGAATACTGCGCTGAACCCAATCATAGAGCTAACACTTGTCGACATGGAATCCAACTCCAATGTCGCCGATGTAACCAGCTTGGTCACAAAGAGAAGTTTTGCACTTATTAAAAGACTGGCCAAGAAGAGAGTGCCAATGATCACTCGCCTGTGCACCTCGACGAGCCTAATATTAAAACATGTACTCCATATTTTGAACATGACAATAAAAATAATCCAAACAATCTAAAATGTATATCCTTAAATGCAAGAAGCGTTGTGAATAAGATCGACGAAATAAGAACAATTATTGAACATGATAAACCTGATGTTTTTTGTATTACGGAGACTCATTTATGTCCGGAAATTTTATCTTCTGAGATATTTCCCCAAAATTTTAAGGTAGTACGAAAAGATAGGAATAGACATGGTGGAGGAATTCTTATAGCATATCATAATATTTTGTCAGTACTCCATAGAGAAGACCTTGAGTCAAACTGCGAAATTATTTGGTGCGAATTATTTTTTAAAGAAACAAAATCTATTTTTCTTGGAGTTTTTTATAGACCTCCAAACAGTAAAATAGAAAGTATTTATGAATTTGAAAAATCTATGTCATTAATAACTCATAATGGTAAAAAAATATGCAATGTTATTCTGACAGGAGATTTTAATTTACCAAGTTTGAAATGGGTAAACGGATATAATGTCACATCCGAAAACTCTGAGTTAACAAAATATTTTATGTCGGTTATTGACAACAATTTTCTATATCAACATGTAAGTCAACCAACAAGAATTACTGATAAGACTTGTAACATACTAGATTTATTATTTACGTCTCATCCATCAGATGTGTCTAAAGTTAATATAATTCCTGGTATAAGTGACCATGAGGCTATAAGTTTCATTATTTGTTGTATGAATAACAGTGAATTAAAAAAGAAACATATATATTTTTATTCTAAAGCTAACTTTGAACAATTCCGAAAAGATTTGAAAGAAGCACCTTTATCTGAAGAAAACAGAGATGTTAATGTGAAAGAATATTGGCAGTTGATTAAATCTACAATAATAAAGATTTGTGATGCAAATGTTCCGCATGGTAATTTAAGAAAAGGATCAAATGTTCCGTGGGTAGATAAGGATTTAAGGAAATTGATGAGAAAAAGAAATAGAGCGTTTAAGAAAGCTAAAAGAACAACTAAGAGAACCCAATGGGAAAAATACAGACAGTTGAGAAAAGAAGTAAAAAAGAAAGTTAAATTGAAATATGTGAATTATTTACGCAATGATATATGCAATAGTCTTAAACGTAATCCTAAACTTTTTTGGAATTTTATTAAGTCCAGAAAGTGTGACCGTGGTATGATAGATTGCTTAAATGTCAGTGGTAGAATTATTACTGAAGATCAACAAAAAGCTGATGTTTTTAATGAACAATTTAATCAAATTTTTAGTAATTGTGAAACCCTTTCCCAGCCCGAATTAAATATTAATGCTCCTATTATGGAGGATATTCAATGTACCGAAGCTGAAGTCTTAAAGTTGTTAAAGAATGTAGACATTTCAAAAGCGCAAGGCCCCGATGAATTAGCCCCATATTTGTTGAAAGAAGGTGCAGAACAATTGGCACCTGCTCTTTGTAAACTTTATAAGCCCGAATCAAATAGTAATGCTCCTATTATGGAGGATATTCAATGTACCGAAGCTGAAGTCTTAAAGTTGTTAAAGAATGTAGACATTTCAAAAGCGCAAGGCCCCGATGAATTAGCCCCATGTTTGTTGAAAGAAGGTGCAGAACAATTGGCACCTGCTCTTTGTAAACTTTTTAATCTGTCTTTGTCATCAGGTGTATTGCCAGCCGATTGGCAAAAAGCTAATATATGTCCATTGTATAAAAAGGGTAACAAACAGGATCCGGGTAATTATCGCCCTATATCTCTTACGTCCATTACATGCAAGATCTTAGAACGCATAATTTGTAAACGTCTTATTGAACATTTTAATGAAAATAATATACTATGTGACAATCAACATGGTTTTCGGGAAAAAAGAAGTTGTGAAACACAACTTATAGAAGCAATTAATGATTGGAGTTATAATATGGAGTCTGGTTCAAGCGTCCACATTGCTTTCCTTGATTTTGCAAAGGCGTTTGATAGTGTACCTCACGACCTTTTAAGAACAAAACTTGAAATGTATGGTGTAAGATCTCAAAATTTAGAATGGATAATGAATTTTTTACAGAATAGATATCAAAGGGTGGTTATAAATGGCGAATGTTCTTCATGGATCAAAGTTAAATCAGGCGTTCCGCAAGGAACAATTTTAGGCCCGATATTGTTTTTATGTTTCATTAATGATATGCCTAATAATATTTCATCAACTATTCGATTATATGCGGACGATTGTATATTGTACCGTCCAATTTTCAATGTAGATGATTGCAAGATATTACAAAATGATTTAGAAGTTTTAAGTAAATGGTCTGAAACATGGATGCTCGACTTTAATGTATCAAAGTGTAAAACTATGAAAATGTCTCGAAAGCTTCACGATATAACATATAATTATTCTCTCAATGGACAGGAGTTAACAAATGTAAAGTCTGAAAAATACTTAGGTCTTGTAATAAATGATTCTTTAAACTGGAACGACCATTGCACTGACTTATATACAAAATGTAACAGGATCATGGGAATTATAAGACGGAATTTTGTTAATTGTCCAAAGTCTATTTTAAAAAGTCTTTTTGAATCACTAATTCGCTCACGTTTAGAATATTGTTGTACAGCATGGGATCCCTATAGAAACACACACAAAGAGAGGATTGAACGTATTCAAAAACGTTACGTAAGGATGATGTGTAAGGATTGGTCTACGAGTTATAACGTGTTATTACAAAATGTCAAAATGAATTTATTAGAAAATAGACGAAAGTACCATAGACTTGTTTTTTACTATAAGATTGTAAATAACTTGATTAATGTAGGAGAAGTAAATAGGTGCACACGAGCGAACAGAATAGGAAGAAATGATAATACTTTTAAGATGCACGTTCCATATGCCAGAACAGACTATTATATGAAATCCTTTTATCCCCAAACAATTAATGAATGGAATCAACTCCCACAAACAGTAGTAAACAGTCAATTGCTAAATACCTTTAAATCGGCTCTGGTAAAACATCTCAATCTAGATTTTTAAAATAGAAGTGTCTTGCAATTTCTAACTTGTATTTCTGTTGTTGTATTTATATTGAACTATAACCTATGTCATACTTCGATATTTTATGTATTAGTATTTACTGTGTAATTATGTATGCCATTTTACTGTCCATATCTGGGATGCAAACTTGTATGGGTTTTTCTAAACCTTGTTTTGTAACCCAAGACATGTATATATTTTTATATTGTCTGAATAAAATCAAATCAAAATCAAATCAAAAGGGATAACGAGGGAGGAAGGACAGGGAAGGAGGAAGGAGGAAGAGAAGGGGAGAACAAAATGGAGATAGAAAGAAAGAGGAAATCGCAGACTCACTGTAGGTAAAGTAGAGATGAAGTCATGAATGTTGGCCATCTTGGCAACCCTTTCAATGTCCGCCATGTCCATCTCCCCATCCACGCTGTACTGAATATTCTCCTTGATGGAGCATGCAAAGAGAATAGGCTCCTGACTGACGACCGATATGTTAGCTCTGAGCCACTGCACGTTCAGATCCGTGATGCTCTTCCCATCTATAGACTACGGACAATTGACAAAAGATGGATAGGGAAAGTGGCATTATGTGGCTTGATAGGACTCGATTACACTTCCATGAACAAAAGAGCATATTAAAGATTACAAAGAGGACAAGAATGTGACTTATTATTAGAAAACAGACCATCGACTAACGCTTGGGAGCCCCAAGAGAAAACAAACTGTCATAAGAAACTAAGTTGTACATTTTGTGGTTTGGATGCACATCAGTTAGCTTATGATTCTGGGCTGGTATTCAATGAAAATCATACTTTAGAATCATTGGACTTTTACTCAACCTCGGGCCAACATCGATGTTCAGTAGCACCTCATTTTACCCAAAGTCAAATAAGATGCAACTGAGTCCAAGACAGCTAGCAGACATCAGCTAATTACTTGGAAAGCCAGGCAGTTCATACATGCATGCCCATGGTTAGATCAATCCTCATGTATTATAAGGAGTAGAATCATTTTGATATCTTACCACTGAGCCTTGCTCGGGATCATAGAATCTTTCTAAGAGTGATACCAGGGTACTTTTACCACACCCACTCTCTCCTACCAGCGCTACAGTCTGGCCTGGTTTGATCGTTAGATTGAGTCCCTTGAGGATGTCTACGTCCGGTCTGGTAGGATACTTGAAGTCGATGGTGTTGTAGCAAATCTCTCCATTCAAGGTACTCTGTAATAGAACACAAAACCAAGAGAAATATCCGGTAATACAATTCTCAATAGATTGAAAAAAATTGAAACTGAAAACTAATGCTACAATATTATTTGTAAATCTTGAATGTTATATTTGTCAGAACATTGACATACAAATATACAAAACATGTGTTACATTTGTTTTGTAGAAAATAAAAAATAATGCTGTAGTACACATTTATAACTTAACTGCTAAAGAGACAAGTGTAATTCATATCACCACAATATATACTCTGACATTAATTAGTTTATGACAAAATTTATACATCACAAGACACAACATGAAAATGACAACCAGTATTTCTTTAAAACCTTTGAACTGAAGAACAATTTTACACATGCTACTGCATTGCTACATTAAAAAAATACAGTTTACTGAGTGGAACACTAATCCTAAATCATTGCATTCACTTGTAGGTTTCAGAGGTAAAACATTTTATAACCCATCACCATCCCCAAATCAGGATTGCTTTGCTCGAGTTCATTCTATGAGTGACACAGTGCATGGGAATTGTAGCAAGCTACATGTATTGGTGTGTTATACATGGATAAGCATACCAAAAGATTCCAAGCCAGTCGTATATTTTTCAGATATTTATCTTCTAAACTGTTTTTTTTTTAATCTGCAAATAAGTGACAAATATTGTGTATGACTTACAGGTTTAAGGCCGCTCTTGGAATAGTTATCAATAAGAGGTTTTGTGGCAAATAAATTGAGGATGACATTAGCGGAGTGCCTGGCTTTGGCATAGTCTGGCAGGAAAGCTGATGCTTGACCAAGTGAGATACCGGCAAAGGCGATACCAAAGACAACTCTGCAATCAAGAAAGCAATATAACATATTAAAGTCGATGGATAAGTAATCATATGAATCTTTCCAGAGTCATAGGCTGTTCTACATATAACAGCTCAAATTATGATATTTGCAATACTAAAAATGATATTACTTTTGTTAATTTTTTTTTTAAAAGGTTATAAAAGGGCTAACAATTTTTTTTTAAATACATAGAAGTTGGACCAACTAAATTACCTTGTTATCAATGTTTGCTATAACAATGTTCTTTATCATGAACTTCCTCTGTATTTCATCTTGAATTTCTGAAAACAGTCTTATGAATTGGATGTTTGAATCATATAACTCCAACTAAAGTTTCCTTGTAGGCCTGGATGTAAATATTGTCTCCTCTCTTCTTCACCCTTGACAATCTGGATGTTTTATAATGCTTTTCTCTTTTCTCCTTCTTTTTGTTGATGAAATTTTTTTGCATTCTTCAATGAAATTGTTATCATAAACTTAATAGACAGACATATTAACATGAAGCAAGTGAGATAACAGAAATACAGAAGCCCCACTGCACTAGTTTGGCCAGGAGGGATTAGCTCTCCCTGCATGGTCACTGACAGGTGGTTATCTCATTAAATCAGCTCTCAATTGACATAAGAAAAAGAGGATCATGGGGGACCAGGGGACCAATAGTCACCGATTAGGCATCGTTTACTATATAGAGGGCGCAAGTAGCTATGATTAGTGCAGTTGGGCTTTAAACCTAAGTACAAGAGGTATGTTAGAACTCACTTGAATACTTCATCCGTCGTCATCTCTCCCTGAGATACAAGGTAACCACCGAACCTGAAGGCTGCAGCGTACAAGAAGAACACCATGCCCTGGGTGATGCCAAAGGCTACAGCATAGTATTGAGTGTTCACCTGGCCCTGACTGCAGAGGAACAATGTCAAAGACAAGAAGAAAAAAAACGTCAGAGATAACGAAAAAGCGTAAAAGATAACAAAAAAAACATCAAAGATAACAAAAAATATGTCAAAGACATCGAGAAACCGTCACAAATAACACAAAGTCTGTGATAACATGATGTGTAAACAGTAAGGTAGCTTAGTGAACTGTAGCAGCACGAATAGACACATCCAGAATGCAAAAGCAATTAGGATGTTTGCTAATTAGAAATTCTTTTGTGACATAATTCTTTCAATGAGAGTTTAGGTAACATTAAGCCTAATCAAGATAGTATGTGTTCAACAACCTAAGCCTAATCATGATAGTACATGTTCAACAACTCCACAACCTAGCGATGTGGTTTGAACTCTATGTAATAAAATTATGATTTTCAAGAATTATGCATCCTGCGTTACGTACGTGTGGGGGTCTAAATCACTTCCTTTACTCGTCAGCTGGCCAAAGCATCCTTACCTTGACAAAGATATATATACATGTATATAGGTACGGTATCCCGTTTCTAGGACAATTACCCCCTGAGCAATCACCCCCACGGAAAATTACCCCCCAGAAAACTACCTCCTAAGGACTATTACCCCCTGGATAATTACCCCCTTAGGACAACTGATATGAGGTATCCCAACACCCCCATATTCAGTTATTATTTGCTTATGTAATTACTTGCTCACTAATGTACGTTTCTAAGAATATTTCAGTCTACAGTACGCATTCTTTGCCCTAATTCTTTACATGACGTGAAACTGTATAGAGTTCAGTCTCACACTGGAAAATCACAAAAAGGAAAGAAAAACGAAAGACCCTGGAAAGAAAAAAATACTCATGAACACACATTCCAAATACAACCTATGAATAACAAAGGGCTTCTTACACAAAAGGCAGCTGTAGCATATCGGCATATCCCTGGTACATTTTATCTTCTAGAGTGAGAGAGGCGACCGTCCGTACATTTTCTATGGCTTCAGCAGCGATCTATGTGTGACAAACAATGAAAGGAATGTAGATTTGAATGTAAAAAGTGTATTTATGTCAGTAAATATATAATAGAGTGGTGAAGTGTGAAGTCATCAAAAACCTATTTTGGGAATTTCTCAATTTTTTTCTTCATTTTCCAAAAGAGCATCAAAAATAATGTCTAAATGTAGATTACCAATTGAATATGTTAAGTTCAGAACATTACGAGCCAGAGCAATATAACACTGAGTTCCTATAGGACATCTATTTCTTCAGGTGGTCATATCTCAGCCAATACTTTACATATTCAATTGGTTTTCAACATTCAAACATTATTTATGATGCTCTTTTAGAAAATGAAGAAAAGATTGAGAAATGACGGATGATAGTTTTTAACAAGAATTAAAACCATTCATGTAAATAATAACAAATGGTGATCATGGCATGATGAGCCTGGAAGCCTGTGGGTAAACAGCAATTCTTTTTGTTCTTATTTTGTCCGGTGGGGCATAGCAAAGAGGTTTCCCATGTTCTTATGACCAGCAGAAATATGTGTTTAGTGTTTTACTGTCTTTTAAAATCATATGCCATGACATGATGATGATGATGATGATGATGATGATGATGACAATAATAATCATAGTAATATGTCTTGTTTACCCAGGGTAGCCTCACCAGTATCAATAATATTCTCCCCAAGGGCCCTGCAATCATACAATCACCCTGACTTTAGCTGAACTACCATGAAACAGTGCTCAAGCATTCCAGGAATTTCTTCCTACCAATTACCCATTAACCACACCTGGGTAGAGTATGGCAGGTGTAGATTAATGTCTTGACGAAAGATATTAGTGCCACGGCAGGACTCGAACTGCAAGCTACATAATCAACAGTCCGGTGATTTATACACTGGTATTATTGCACTTTTGAGATATTATCTCATTTCTTGAATTATTCTTTCTCTTCTGCTCTGGACCTTCTTTTCATCTTACATATGATTCTGATAGCCCTATCCAATCCATTTGGAAATTTTTTAGAAAACAAAAAATTAATCATGAGATACAATGCAAATTGTTCTCTGATATTTGTTCCGATAAGCGAGTAAATTCTTACTTTTCCAGCTTCTTCAAGGAGTTCCGAGTCTCTCTTCTGTGTGCCTTGCATGAGCTTGAGCTGCAAGCCACCGGCCACAACAAGCAGAGGTACGCAGGCCAGGACCACCAAGGCTAGCTTCCAACCGAAGACAAACCCGATCACGAGTGCCGCCGCCAATGTGACCGCCGTCTGGAAGAGGGTGCTGAGGCGCACCCCTGTTGCCTGAAAGCGGGGAGAAAGGAGAGATGAAAGGATGGTGAGTCAGAGTGTAACTCTTATCCTGCCATAACGAATACAGCCTAATGCCACAGGGCTCATCCCTATTGTTCCAAGCCTCAAATCCCCCTCTGCCAAATTAATTTTGAGATAATCAGATTAGCGCGATGGTACTTTCAATAGCGCATGCGAAACACTAGACAGAGTGCAATGGGCATGAACAATAACTGCTATAACGAAGGCGAGCATGCATGCACAAAGCAGATAGGCGGTAGCTCGCTCGCATGAATGAAGCAACCAATCGATAGCCACTCGCGTGTACAAAGCACTATAACGGTAGCGTGCAAGCAGCCTTATGGCAAGATATGAGTTCAAAAACATAGTCACTGAATGAATAGCTTCAGTTTAAATAGTACTAAAAATTCACCCCCCCCCCCACAAAACAAATGTAAAAAAATCAAACTCTTAAGTTGCTTTCTTCGCCTCTCTGCATGGTGGCTTGTTTGCCACACATGCTACATGTATTTTGCCCAAAACGATAGGCACATGTACCAATTGATAAACTTATTGTTTTGTTCAACACAATGGCTTTGCAAAATTACCCATTTTTCTTGTATTGATAAGATTTATTACAATACTTTTAACACTGGTATAGGTTATTAATCTTGCACTGGAAACATTTGAAAAATCCTGAAGCCTTCTGTATAAGCTAACTTAGATAAATACAATATGGCACCAATAAGATATTTGAAGAGTCTTGGGATAAAATGATATCAGATCACCCAAAACTTACCCCTTTCACATTTGACGCATCAGCAGATAGACGAGTAGCCAAGGCACCTGTGCTATGAGTTGGTTGGTCAAAGAATGCAACATCCTGGGGGAAAAGGAAATAAAGTTAAGTTTCAATGGTTGCCGTAGAGAGGAAACTTGTGAGGTAAACATAAGTCACTGTGTGAACCCTGAGCCTCAAAGTTCGTGCAAATTCATAAAAATTTCTGAACTCTTTGCCCGCCACGTACACAATCCCCCTGTGCCACATTGTTTTTAGGGTGCCACCTTAGGAGGGGTTCTGCATGGACTATGCTTATTCAACTCGCAATAACTTTTGATTGGTGTACTGTAATGAAAAACTTTGTGTAGCAATATTGTATAGAAATTAATAGTCTTGCCAATGGTATCATTTTTGTAATGTATATTATCATAAATTTTGAGATTATCAACTATACATTTTGTATCCAAGTTTTCGTTTAGAAGGGTATTCTATACCTCTTATATCTAATACTTTGTTATGGAGGTTTATGTCCTGAGTTAGTTCATTGAAAAGATGTATTCATGAGCTTTCACTACATACCAAATTCATGTGTTGAAGGTCACAATGAGCCTGGTAATTTAGGATTGAATAAAGAGTAAGCCGACAATGAACTAATCTCCTATTGAAATTGACCCTGGGTACTTTTGAATAGACTTCCTGTCTCTTGATTGTACTTTGATGACCTTTATTGTGTCTGTAGGTAAGATGGTGTAACATTCTATTATTACTTGCAAGGCTGTGCAAGCTATTAGAATTGAAAGAAATGAACAGAAGAACTTATTGATTTTCTACACTAATAAGGCAAGCCATGAACATAATGTATGCTTGAAACATGTACTAAGTTATGAATTGTAGAAAGCTGATGTATAATAAATAAGAATAAAATATATTCGTCTACATATGTAGTCTCATATTGACATGTTCATTATAACAAGAGGTAGACAGAGAGAGGGAGAGAGAAAGAAAGAGAATAAGAACGAAGAGACAGGCAGATTGGGAAAGAAATAAGAAGAGACAGGGAGAGATAGAGAGAGAGAGAGAGAGAGAGAGAGAGAAAGAAAGAGATATAAGCAGATACAGAAAATGAGAGTGAGAAGATAGAGATAGAGGGGGAGGGGAAGAAGAAAGAGACAGGCAGATAGGGATATAAATAAGAAGAGACACGGAGAGAGAAAGACAGATAGGCAGACAGAGAAAGACAGAGGCAGGTTGAGATAATGAGAGTGAGAACAATATAGAGAGAGGCAGAGAGAGGGGAGGAAGAAAGAGGCAGGCAGATAGGGAGAGAAATAACAAGAGACAGGGAGAGATAGAGAGAGAGAGAGAGAAAGAAAGAGATAAGCAGATACAGAAAGTGAGAGTGAGAAGATAGAGATAGAGGGGGAGGGGAAGAAGAAAGAGATAGGCAGATAGGGATATAAATAAGAAGAGACACGGAGAGAGAAAGACAGATAAGCAGACAGAGAAAGAAAGGCAGAAAGAGAAAGTGAGGATGAGAAGATACAGAGGGGCAGAGAGAAATAAGAAACAAGGAGAGAGAGAGAGAGAGATAGCGGCAGATAGAGAAAGTGAGAGTGAAAAGAAGATATAGGCAGGGAGAGGGGAAGAAGAAAGAGACAGGCAGATAGGGAGAGAAATGAGAGAGAGAGAGAGAGAAAAGAGACAATCAGATTGCGAAAGAGACAGGCAGACAGAGAGGCGGATAGATAGAAAGAGAGAGATAGAAGGAAAAGGTACGGAGACAGAGAAAGTCAGGTATAGTCTTATGCACTCCTCAGGCTCATCCTCTGCTGAAACCATCGACACATCATCCCTAATTTCCTCTTCAAACTCGCTGTCTGAATCGTGATTGATGTCCACGCCATTATCATGTTCTGTGGGATTACGCAAAAGTGTACGTGTGGGACCAGGCTCATCTTCTTCGTCAGAGTCAGTCTCGCTCTCCTCTGAATAAGAGTCGGCTGTTGGAACAGGGTCCATCACAAGTTCTCGTACCTGATCAGCAGTGAAGAAGTCCCGTCTCCTCCTAATAGGGGCCATCCTAGCTCATCAGAATATTTGCAAAAGCAGTTTCAAAAACTCAATTTTTCTCGGAAAATGTCAATGTAAACAATGTCTGCGAAAGCGGTGCAATGAAGTGTGATGTGTATACAATGCGAAGCACGCATTACTATTGTGTGTGTGTGCGTACAATAGAATTAAATGCGTTCCGTGTGTATTGTGAATGAAATGTGACTTGAGTCGAAGTTGGCAGCCCGCTGTATGTTCCGCTAGCCGAACGAAGCGGGCAAAGAGTTAATGAGAAGAAGTGGAGGAAGAAACGGAATAAGAAAAGGGAAGAAGAGGAAAAAGAAGGTGAAATATAAATGAAGCTTAAGAAGAAATAAACAGAGGAGAAAGGAAAAATTGACTAGGTGACATTTACTCTTGACACTAAAAGCCTGAATTTTGTGATGAAGATGGCAAAAATATACTTTTTCTTAAAGAACAGATACAAAAGGAGTATGGAGAACAGGAGAAGAAGAAGGAAGATGAAGAAAGAGGATGATGAAAGAAGAAAAGGAAGAGGGAAGAAAGAGTAGAAGAAGAGGTGGAGGTAAACAGAGATAGGAGGAGATCTAGAGAAGGAAGAGGAGGGAGAAAGAAGAGATGGAGCAAAGGTGGGAGCTACAGAAAGGGAGGATGAAACAATTAAAGGAGAGGAAGAAAGAATAGAAGAAAAGGAAGATTAAAGAAAAGGAAGAGGAAGAAAGAACAGGATAGGAGGTGAAAGTAAGAAGAGGTGGGAAAAAAAAACAGGGAGGAGGGGAAAAAAAGGATGAAACAATGAAAGAAGAGGAGGGGTGACCAACCTGTCGTAGAATGGTGGAGAATGCTTTACTTCTAAGCCTCAACGTCAGTTCTTCTCCAGATATCGCAAGACAGCTGATGCTGACGGCATAACCAACAAACATGGTTCCTCCAAGAGCTACGAACATACAGGACCAGAACACAGCTGCCTCTTCTATTTCATCATTAGGTAAACTAAAGAGCTGCAAGAAATAAAAAAAGATAAATTTCCAGTGTTTCCTTCAAACTCAGTTACTTGTTTCGAAACCAACTCTACTGCGAAAATCAATTGTCAGTGCAAGTAACTTTTTTAGAGCAGCTTTAGATAAACTATATACCAAATATTTCAAAGCGCTTAGAGATGTCGTAAATGTTAAGTGCTAAATGAACCCAGCTAATTATCATTATCATTAAGCTTCATTTTTTAGAAATACTTTATTTTAACAAACCATTTTCTAAATTGCATATTGTGCAGTGGCTTTTGTTCTTCCTAACCAAGTATATTGAGTGATCTGTACAGCTTTTAACACAAAAGATTGACTGTTAAAGGGAGTGGATTGTCAGTTTCCACGTGCAGAAGGCCATAATTCACCAGAGTTGGAAAAAAACTGAGTACAACTCTGCACCCAGCAAACCCGTAGGCCAATCGAGAATTACCCCCTAGTCTCTCAGAGAGTTTTCGGGTGAGGGAAGAGCAATGCATTACATAAGGTGTAATGGTCCTAAAACTAAAGGCTAACCCTGGTGATGGAAAACACCTGTTATTGGGTAAACACCCGAACAGTGTCGAATTCCCCATGAGAGCTGACTTCTATGTGTCTTTAAAACACAGAAGAACATTTCACACTTATCAGGGGGACATTTGGGAATAACTTGTTCTCTAACCTTGATAATTTCACTGAAGAGGATGGCAAAGACGGGCATAGTGACTCCTAGAATGGCTGAGAAGAAGCAGCCGATGACGATGAGATACCACTCAGGGGCGTTGAGCTTCAACACCTCCCAGTAGCTAGCCTTAGGAATCTCTTCTTCCTCCTCCTCCTGTAAATGAAAGTGTGAAATTATGGTTCATTTGGTATCCCAGTGATGAGATGAATCACAAGCAGAAAGCAAAACATTGAGCTTCAATACGCCACAGTAGCTAGCTTTAGGAAACTCTCTTTCCTCCTTCTTTAGAGAGAATATGAAATCATTATTCACATTGGCATGCAAACGACATAAATAATCACAAGCTTAAAGTAAAATTAAGCAGTTTTTATCTCTCTTTTCGACCTTTGCACTGCTGGATGAGATATGTCAAAACTTCCGTCATCCTCCCTCTACCTCCCTCCTTCACCCTCCCTCGTGACAATGCTGTCTATATACATACCTCATCAGTTGTATCTTTCTTTCCGTCGTCCAGACTGCTGGATGAGAGATGGCGTGACTTCTGATGGGAGAGCTGCCTTGAGATCTTGTTATGACTGGGTTGACGCTTCATCAGCTCTCCCACCTCTTCCGCATTATCTGGAGAGCAAACGATAGAATTCCATCAGGATTATTGATGAATCAAACTACCGACATTGAAATATGGATGGATGGTTATGACATTGTTCCCTGACTTCCATTTTGTTTTGCTTCATTGGATTTTTCACCTTCAAATTGACTCCTTGACAAGTGAATTCTTGTATTCACATTAATCTTAACATAGGGACTACCCGGTTCCTGTGGGCAAAGCGTTAAAAGGTCCTACTATCTCATCAACAAACTTTGTACTTTACTTCTGTTTGTAGAGTGATTTTTTGTTTTTGTAATGAGTTGAAATGCATTGTACAAGTATGTTATACTATCATCAATATTACAAGTCTGGACTTACAGTTTTGAGATTTCGCATGTATAAACCTATTTATACCATGACAAAATTGCATGCCAAACTAACATTGAACTACCGGTATAGCAAAATCAAATTCATGTCTTCCAGCCTTACAATAAGCGAGTCGTAAATAGCTTTGGAACGCATGACCCTAAAATATCCACAGATCTTAGCAACGAAGGATACTTCCCACATGTGCATTTTAGAATAATCACTGCCAAAGTGATGGAGGTGCTTCATGAATACCTTTTGTTTGCCTCTTGAGAAGAATACTTCCACCTGTGTATCAGATAAATGTATTGTTGGCGCATAAATGAATACTGATTACATAACTTTCATGAGCACGATCCGAGTATTCGTCTCAATGGTTTTACAATTTGGGTACGAATGACCTTGATCTGCCCATGCGCAAATCCTAATTACGATCTCGCTTATTACTGTAGGTAATAGATGTACTGTTCATTGCCTCAACACAGAGCATGTTATATAGTGGCTGCAGGAGCTATTTGAGTATAACTAGAACATCATAAATTCTCTGACCCCAACCAATGATATCCAAGACTTTTCTTGGCCTAGACATTTACAACCGAATTTCCTGTACTGACCCTCTTCTCCTTCCTCCTTGGCAATGATCTGCAGAGTGACCAGCTGTTTGTAGGTTCCATTAGCCTTCATCAGCTCGGCGTGGTTCCCAAACTCCACCACCTTCCCGTCGTTCAGGGCATAGATGATGTCAGCATTCTGGATGGTCGAGAGGCGATGGGCGATCACGATGGTAGTACGTCCTTCCGAGGCCTAGAGTGGTAGAGGATTAAAAACATGCATTGTTAGTGAAGAATTTGCTTTGGACAGATGTAATGTCATCGTTTATAAATCCTTTCTATCTTCCTATTTCTATCCATCCATCTGCCTGATGTTCTATTGAATCTAAGGTGAACACATTCCCCCGTCCATTCTATTCACCTACATGTGTATCTATCCATCCACCCACCCACCCACCCATCCATCCATCCATCCATCCACCACCCACCCACCCACCCATCCATCCACCCACACACCCACTCACCCACCCATCCATCAATCCATCCATCCATCCATCCATCCACCCACCCACCCACCCATCCATCCACCCACACACCCACTCACCCTACCACCCACCCACCCATCCATCCATCCATCCACCTACACACCCACTCACCCATCCATCCACCCACCCACGCTACCACCCACCCACCCATCCATCCATTTATCCATCCATCCACCCACCCATCCTCCCACCCACCCACCAAACAATCCACCCACCCATCCACCCACCCATCCACCCACCCATCCATCCATCCACCCACCCACCCATCCATCCATCCATCCATCCACCACCCACCCACCCACCCACCCATCCATCCACCCACACACCCACTCACCCACTCACCCACCCATCCATCAATCCATCCATCCATCCACCTACCCACCCACCCACCCATCCACCCACTCACCCACCCATCCATCAATCCATCCATCCATCCATCCACCCACCCACCCACCCACCCATCCACCCCACACACCCACTCACCCTACCACCCACCCACCCATCCATCCATCCATCCACCTACACACCCACTCACCCATCCATCCACCCACCCACGCTACCACCCACCCACCCATCCATCCATTTATCCATCCATCCACCCACCCATCCTCCCAACCACCCACCAAACAATCCACCCACCCATCCACCCACCCATCCACCCACCCATCCATCCATCCACCCACCCACCCATCCATCCATCCATCCATCCATCCATCCATCCACCCATCCACCCACCCATCCATCCACCCACACACCCACCCACCCACCCATCCACTCATCTATCCATCCATCCACCCATCCACCCACCCATCCATCCACCCATCCACCCACCCATCCATCCATCCATCCATCCACCCACCCACCCATCCATCCATCCATCCATCCATCCATCCACCCATCCACCCACCCATCCATCCATCCATCTATCTACCCACCCGATGCAACTTACCCTGTCTAAGGCCTGCTGGACCAACTTCTCACTCTCGCTGTCCAGAGCAGACGTAGCTTCGTCCAGTAGCAGTATCCTAGGGTTACTGACCAGAGCTCTGGCGATGGCTACTCTCTGCTTCTGACCACCGGACAGCTGGGCACCACGCTCTCCGACAATGGTATCATAACCCTGAGAATAAGGGGTAAATAGAAATAATGAAACTCAAAAGATGTATACAGTACTTATGGAACTTAATTAAATTATTATAATACAAATATGAAAGTCAGAAGAAAGGATGTTAATTTTGTGTAAATTGGATATGTTTTGTGGTAACACAAGGTATCTGTTTCTATTCAAGGTAGCATCTTTTAAAAGTTAAACTGAGATATCCTTCATGTTCATATACAACTATTTCTCTCTTTTTTTGCTGGGGCTAAATTGCTCTCCATTATTCTATATGCATTTGCTATCAAGGATCCCCGGTGGCAAGATCGACTTTAAGTTGGACTTAACTAAGGCAGGCCATTCATGTCACTGGTTGCTCTCACCATTGATCTCTCAATTATGATCTTTAGATAACATTTTTACTTCAATAAGGAAAAAAATATAAAAATTCTGTAGATTTGTGACCATAATGTGTACGTCCCTTGAAAGACCAATGCCAGTAAACAGTGAGAGCAAACAGTGGCATGAATGGCCTGCCAAATTTAACTCCAACTTAAAATTGATCTTAGGCTTTGTGAAACAACCCCCTGATTTATTATTACTGTATCGCACACTATCATAGTACCTACCTTGGGTAATTTCATGATGAATTCATGGGCGTTGGCCATCTTTGCAGCATTCACCATCTCCTCCTTGGTAACACCGTCTCGTCCGTAAGAGATGTTGGTCTCTATGGAGCAGTTGAAGAGGACCGGTTCCTGGCTCACCACACCGATGTGCTGACGAAGCCAGCGAAGATTGAGGTCACGAATCTCGTTGCCATCGATGAAGATCTATAGCACAGGTACAAAGTGGGAAAGTATAGTGGTTTAGAATGGGTTGTCATTGGATGTTTTGTACCTTGGGTAGTTCATCCAGATGCTGCTTAATCAAAATGTTGAGGATTTACTTAACCCTTACTGTACTGGGCTATTTTGAGCACCCACTGACTGGGGGGGGGGGGGCCTGGGAGGCCCCCCCCCTATGATCTCGGCCGTCGATTGTCCGATGAACACGAAAATTTGCATGTTTGTCGATATTTACGTTAGGAACAAGATGGTATAATTAGTTTTTTCCGAATATGCAAATTTTTGTCGTTAGCCTAATTAATTATGCAAAATGCGCTAATTTTATGCATTTTACAGAAAACGTGTCAAACTCCACTTTTTTAATGTTGAAACTCATTACTCAAATGAAACTACTTTTCTAACACAAAAAAGTTATTTTAATGTAATTAATAATGATAATTTATGCAAATTTTGATGGATTTTTATTTATTTTTATTTTTTTTCTGATGACATGCGCATACTAATTGTTATGTAACGCCTTACAGGTATATCCGATTTCGACGAAAATGGTATCAAAATGTGCGTAAGACTTGAGGGAAAAAAGTCATGAAACGACATTTCAAAATTCCAAGCGGTTGCGGCGCAATCTCCGAAAATGTCGAGGGGGGGCCTCCCAGGCCCCCCCCCCCCCCAGTACAGTAAGGGTTAAAGTAGTCACCCAAAGAAAATTCATGACAACTGATAATTATGGACAATTCATATATGGATGGGCAGATTTCACTTGAAAAACACAAATAATTTGCTGAAAATCATATAGATATCATGGAAAGGCGTAAAATGCTTTGTGGCTAGCTGCGTCTCGCATGTGACGTCACAAATCTTGAAGCGCAATGGAGGACTGATGATTACTGCGGGCCCCAAACATATTTTGAAGAGGGAAGTTGTTATATTTGATCAGTAAAGCTTCCCCTTCACAATGATATGAATTTTGCATCAATTCAAAACACTTTTGTGGAGATGAACATGTACCATCAAGAAAGGCTGTGTGGAGAAGAGAATCTGATGCTCTACCTAAAGGGATGTATGATAGTTAATATCATCTTGATTTAAACTACCATACCACATCCTCATGAGCCAAACTTGATTTTTTTTTCATCCCCTTTTTCTTTCCATATCCAAAGGAAATCTTCTAAATTTTATACTTGTTTTAAATCGATCCTTCATGCCAACTTTAACACAAAAAGGAAAAGACAGGAAATTTGACTGTTGAAATTTCATTTTATGACTACTGTTTGTCATCAAAGTGGAGACGAGGGAATCAACAAAGCACAAGCACGAGGTATGCATATCTCCTTAATGCAAAATAATTGTGGCCCGGTGAATAATCAATGAACTGCGGATCACAAGGTTTAGGGTCCAAATCCCGGCCACAGCGCTAACATTCTCAGGTAGGACATTCATCACCATTTGCCACACTCCACTACTATTATTATCATTAAAGAGAAAGTTCAGTTCTGGTCTAGCGATTGTATTGCCCAGTCTTGGTACAGTTACAAGCACTGTACACAGAAAGATGTATATGGGACTACATGAACATGTGGCATAAAAATCCGTCCCGATTTGTATGCTGTTACATGCCATATTTAGAATATGAAGGCATTTGAAGAGCCATGCTTTTCAGGGAACATTTTTTTATCTGATGTTCTTCCACACTTGCATGTAATAACAATTATAATGCTCACAAAGTATTTGTCACCTCTTCCCAGAACTCAACCTTCTCTTTATAGAGAAGATATAATTACCCTTCCATCTAGAACATCATAGAACCTCAGCAGAAGGTTGACAGTGGTCGACTTCCCGCATCCGCTGGAACCCACGAGGGCGACGGTCTGCCCGGTCTTTACGCTCAGACTGATACCCTTCAGGACTGGCACATCGGGTCGAGAGGGGTACGTGAAGTGGACCTTCTCAAAGTCAATGTTCCCCGTGATGGTGTCAGGTTTCAGACCCTCTGTAGAGCGCATGTCAATGACTGGTTCCTGTGGTGCAGACAGATATTCAGCACAATGGATTAAGTGAAATGAACTAATTATCAGGAATAGTCTTTTTCCTATAGTTTATCTCAATCTTAATACAGTACTATTACAAAATAAAATCTGGTCAGGCGTATTAGAAGTAATAGAATATGACAAAAAGAGCAACTGATTTTTTTCAAGAGGGATTTAGTCTTATTGAAGCCATCGACTACTGAAAGTTCTCATTCCCTTTAATAGGCATGATACTGGAACCATCCTTGTTGCATAAAAAATGCTTGGTTAAGCAAGCAAGATGCTTGCAAAGTCAGCAAGCTAATTCAGAACAGGATTATGAGATTTCAAACTACTGCACCCGTTAAAAACCAGCATAATGGCAGATATTATATCCAACCCACCTCATCAATGACTTCAAAGAGGATGGCAGCCGCTCCCCTAGCCGTTGCCACGGTGCTAAGAGGCGGGATCATGTTCCCGATGGAGAACGAACCAATCATGATACAGAAGAACACTGTCATGACCTCTCCCCCGGTCAGACGACCTTCGCTAACCATCCTCGGGCCATACCTGGAGGAAGATGGGTAAATATGATGAATAATTAGATCTGCATCTTGAGAAAATCAATCTAAAGTGACTCCACCCGTCTACCCGTCCACCGTTATGGGACTTGCTATTAGAAAGAATAGTTTTGATAAAAGAATTCATGAAAGTTAACCATCCTAGTGCCATATTTCAAGGCAAAATGAGAGGGAAAATTAGAACTACAAATTGAAGAAAACAAGTGAAGAGTGGAAACAATCATTACAGATGAAATCAGGTAACAGTCTTTTGAATATATAAGTATCTTTACTTGAAGGTTTTCTGAATAGGTGATGTTGTAGGTAGGAAAGATTGTGTAAATTGAAGTTTTAAAATCATCAAACTTGCATCCCACCAACTAAATTGACTATAGTTAGCTTTATAGCAAAATGTTGTAGCATGAAAAGACGCGACCAGAACAGCAACTGTTTAATTGTTAAAAATCATCATGTTATTAGACAGAAGTAGAACCACATTGTTAGGATATGGAGCTGATAAATGCATGATGAGTCTTCATGTTAGCTAAACTTCCATTCAGATATGTCACAAAAGAACTTTTAATCAACAAACATCACTAACATTTTGCATTCCAGAAACGTCTTTTTGTGTCATTTCATTTTGCTAGCTAAGCTACCTACGGTAACTATAATACAGGAAACATTAACCATACATTAATTCTAATTTCAGGGAAAGGAGGATTCTAATTTACATTATTGAAATTCTCCAGGATATGGTTAGTTAGCAGGAAATGAGGGTCAAGCAAAGTGACATTTTAGGGAACCAGCTTGAAGGAAGTAAAGTTTTGAATAACACTTTGGGGTCTTCCCTTTTAAAAATGGGAATTAAAGCAATGTCTACAGATTAACCTTTGAAAAGCTTTCTTGAAAGTCAGAAAGAGGGCCACATCTTTTATTTATTTCCAGTATTCTAATGAAAACAAATTGCACACAGGCACAAGAATACAGGCAAGCCTTCAATCCATGTTGCTGCTGTGCACACTGATTATGCGCAAAGATGTATATTTATAAGTCTTTTTAAACAGAAATAAATAAATTAAAAACAGACAAAGATCAAAATGTATGCAGATGGGCCATTGTTGGGTGCAGCTTTGTCTTTTTAATCCCCTATCCTTTTTGCCTCTTGCCATTCATCTCCACACAATTTGTTTTTCTTCACATTGTTTTACCTCTTTTGTTTCTTGTCTTTTCTGTAGATAGCTATACTGTCTAAGTGGGACTTACTGCATTATGCAGATATGTTCCCTTCCCTTTTCCTTGTCTTTTGTAGTTAATTGTGAGTATCGGTTCATGTATCCCTGTAATCTCCCTTTCCCTGTTTTAGCGTGTATTTGCATTTTATAAACTTAACTTTAGTTAATTATGTCATTTGTAGTTTAAGGAGCCTATCGACAACAAGCTCTGCTTTTCCATAGGCTCTGCCACTATATCTCTTAAGTTCAACTCAAGTACAATATCCTAAATAGTGTGTACCGGTATTGTTTGTACATGTATAGTATAATCATTGTCAATATGATGTTACACTCTTTATAAAAATGAGATATTGTGGAAACCAATAAACTATCTACCGGTATCTATCTATATGTCTGAAAAGGGATCATTCTTTCACACTGTATACATGTGTGTGGCTCATCAGAATTAACAGGGATCTCAGATCAGCCACATAACCTTTGACCTTAATTACCAGAAAGCCAGTGCATAAGCTGAGAACATGATGAAGAATGTTAGACCAAGACCAAAGGCAGTGATGACACCCTTCTTGATTCCAATCTTCTTTGCACCCTCCAGCTCCTTCTCATACCTAGAAAGAAAACACATATTTTCTCGATAAAAAACCCCAAGAGTATTAAAGAACTAATATTCTGTTATCATCATACGATTATAAATATATATATTATAAATTATATATTTATGGCTACCACATTCTAACACGCATGTACATTTATGCGTTTTTGTTTGGCGAATACATCAGTGAAACATGCTTCAGAGGCCAGCTTTGTACGCATAGAAATAGATGTACAGCAAGTCCATAAAGATCACCTTTGGCTTTTGTTTCCCTTGAACCAATGTTTTATGAAAATGGTACCAAACAAACGTGTACATAAAGATGTATTTCCTAATATTTGTAATATTATCGCTTATCATAAACAATACATGATACAGAAAACTCTCATTGATTATGGTAATAAAAACATGTACCAAAATGTAATCTTCTATCAACCTTGAAATTTAGTAGACAAGCTTGAAAGAGCACAAAAGAGCCCTCATTACTTATCCTTCACTGAATAGGGACTCTGTCAATTCATTGTCACCTATCTTTGCTCCAGTGATCTTGAGAACCTGCATGAATAATCAAATGACTTAAGAAAATCCTCAGGAGTGGACAAAAGCTTGCCTCTTAAAATTAAGGTTGGAAAAAGCTTTAAACTACCGGTACACGTTAATCCTATACATGAACAAATACCTCTTTATTTCTTTGTGCTCTCCACCGAATGCAATGACGGTCCTAATGCAAGCCAGAACCTCTTCTGATACACTGCCAGCCTTGGCATACGCCTCCTGCTCGGCTTTAGAGAATGATGTTATCAGCTATTCAGAAAAAATAATAATAAATGATGTAAAATAAATAATTTGATAAAGTTCTGGCCCACAGCATACAAGGAAACAAGACAGGGAGAAGGGCTTAATTTCATTGAGCCCTTCAAGACTTTTAAACAAATATTCTAATATTTCGCAAAGTTTAATTGAGAGAGAATGTTCGCCTCTGCACGCAGTGTATGTTTATAAGGTTTCCTGAAGATAATAGTTGTCTCTAACTTGTATAACAATTTTTTCTTACCATATCAAAAGCTATTTTGATGGAGTTACAAAGTAGCTCCTTCTCCCTATTGGATATTTATTCCTTATTATTATTATTTTTGTTGTTGCTGTTGTTGGTTAATTCTTTTTCTGCTGTTGATATACTGTTGCTGCTGTTACACTCCAACAGTAAATAGGACTTAATAATTGGAAAGTAGAAACAGTCGCACGCCACTCCGACTGACCGCAAGCGCCACAAGTGGCACGCATGCCGCCAGTTGAGAAGGCCTGAACTAGACTATTTAACCAAAACTGTACATGCTATGCATGACACTTCTACATGTACTTTGAATAAAGTGCTCTCAGGAAAATACACACAATTTTCACATTCATCAATCCTCATGTCAATGGGCTCTTTCATGACAGAAGTAAAATAAGCTTTCAAATTACAAGATGAAAGCCTTTCGCAAGACAACAATGACAAATTGATCTTGGTTGAGACAAGTCAGTTTCTCCTCAAATTAAAGTTATTTAAAAAACCACAACAATCTGCCTTGTGATTAATGGTGCTTTCAAAATGGTGATGAAATCAACTTCATAATTAGTCATAAACCTTTACAGTAACACCACGTACACAGTCAAATACAATAAGTCTCATTCATGCAACCGATCTACTGTACTTCATCTGTGAAAAATGAGGTGATAATATTGTGTAATATTTCATATGGTATTTATTAAAGCATAAATGGGTCAGTTTGTAAGTCAAAAGTTACTTTGTATTTGTTGTACATGTAAGTCAAATACAATACTCTTATTTGTACAATCAATCTACTGTACTTCATCTGTAAAAAAGATTTGATAATTTGTGTAATCAGAAACATGGTCATTGACAAAGGATCTAGAACAGAAGCTTGTGACTAGAAAGAGAAAGATGTCGCATTTATCTCTGCGAGACAAAATCAACCACAAAGTCATACGCCAGAAAACAAAGGTTAAAGACATCATGGAGAAAGTAAGAGAATCAAAGTGGAGATGGGCTGGGCATGTAGCAAGACTGCAGGACAACCAAGGGTGGGAAAGAGAAGAAGAGGAAGACAGAAGAGAAGATGGAGAGATGACCTAACATCATACATAGGAACGGCCGCTTGGACCAGGACAGCTAGAGACAGAAGAGAATGGAAATTTCATGAGGAGGGCTTTGTCCAACGTCTGGATGAACTATAGCCTGATAGATAGATAGATAGATAGTAATATATTTCATATGTTATATAAGCAAAAATGGGTTAGTACCATGGGCAAAGGTTACTTTGATTATCTCTTCAAACTGACTAATCTTGAAGGTCATCTATCACCATATTTTTAGCATTTATAGTCTGTTTGCAATCCTCATCTTCATCAAAGTTTTCATCTTCCATTGTTACCTTAAAGGCAAGACAGGCTTACCAGACATGGAATGCCTGCAAAAGGTTTGGGTATCAACAGGGGAGCTTCCCGAATGCATTTTGAAAAATAGTTCATAATTCTTTTTGAAAAACAGTTCATAATTCTTTTCAGCAGCATATATCTTTAAGGCACGGTAGTCCACTTTAAGCAGTTGTGCAGGGAGGTTCCACCGAAAATGTTGATACCAAACAACATTTTACAACATATCCCATGTCTTGAGTACCCCATGTCTTGAGTACCCCAAACAAAGGTTTTTGCATCATCTATTGATCCAGAATGCTAGAAATTACATCATACATGAGCAGAAAGAACAAAAATCACAGAAAATTCAGAATATACTTGCGCCATTCTTGAAAAGAACTCTTTAATTGTAAATGATGATTAAATTCTCAAAATTGGTAACATGGTTTAAAATATGAAATCTATACTTATGCGTACAAATTAGAAATTTTCCAGTTATATTTTGAAATCTTCTTTCAGAGTGGTTCATTTAATAAATTATTGTTTTTCAAACTTTCAAAAAAGTTGAGGAGGGAAAAGAGATTAATTAAAAAATAAGGAAACTTTGAACTGATATGGGAAAAAAAAGAAGAAACAGACTTGCATACACATACAGTAATGTACATGCCAATTAAAGTACAATGCACAAGTTTGTGTGTTTAATCATGTGAATGAAAAAATCAACAAGGTGTCAACAGAATATGTATATTTTTTTCTTCATCTGAGTTCAACATGATACACAATATTATCCATCTCAGTATACGTGTCCCTGATGCAAATATCCCTCACCAAATTATGGAAAAGAAACAAAAAGGTTCATGATATACAGCATCTCAATACAGCTAAAATCAACACGCACGTACATGTTGAAAGTTGTTATACAAAGATAAAATTTTTGTCAATTTATGCTCTTTACAAGTACAAGTACATGTACAGTAGGTACGATTATAATACAATAAATCTACATCAAAATTGGTCATTAGCACTGAACTTTGTGCACCATTATTTTAAGAAGATAAATCTCGAAATAAAACATTATCTCTTTTATGACTGTTGACTTTTGATCTATCCAACAGGCACAAAGATAGCAAGGACCCGCTACAGTGTCTTGAAGGGTCCAAGTGGCAAATATTCAGTCGTAAAAAATGGTGTCACCAGACTTTCAGCATGCATTGTCTTATTTGACACTTCAAAATATATCTGAAAACTTCCCTATAAACACAACATCAGACGGTGACTGTGGTAAAGTTCACACCAATGTATGATGTAATATTCTTGTCCTCGTTATACAAGTATTTTTTTAATGGAATTGTTCTCATGTGACTATAAGTATAAGCCAGTTCATGGTTGCAGTCTGAGCATGAGTAGATAAAGGTCATTGCAGAAAAACTTGTGAAATACACGGAGACGAAATACTGGATACGTGCTCATGAAAGTTATGTAATCATTATTCATTTATGCATCCCATGAGGTGGAACCGTGGATGTAGCACCTCCATCGCTGTAGGAGAGATTATTTCAAAATGTATAAAGTGGGACCTCTTCATGTTTTGAAGATTTGTGGATATTCGGGGTCATTGCAGTAATGTGCTAACCGTGAACTGTCTACAACTTGTAATATATGAATAAAATCTTGCACCATAATTGTTGTATCATTATTTAAGAATGAATTATAATGTTTATCTATCTAGTTACTGGTGTACTATTTGAGCATAGTTCAAAAGTAGATACATGTAATTAATTAAGCTTGTAATACTGTACAATGTAAAGCGCATAGAGACATACCTTGTATAATGCACTATAGAAATATAATTTATTATTATTATTATTATATAACCGTGAACTGGTCCATTACAAGAGTATAATGAAATTGTGTACACAGCGCAAGTTATGATTTGTATTAAAACAATATTTGCAAAATAATTCCAAAAACTTGATATTTACAGTCACAAAAGGTACATGCTCATGCATTCAAAATTTAAAGAACTATAACATCGCTTCCTTTTTGCCCCTGAATTATTATGCTACATGTATTTTCAATGGTATCATTGATATCAATTTAATTACATAAAACTATATCGATATAAGAGAATGAATTAATAATATGAGTTCTCTTTTATTCATGACATAACCCATAAACCAGATTCAACTTCAGCTACAGTGAACAATTCTACTCATGGAATCATTGACTTTATGCATTGCCGTATTCAACTGTTGATAAACTAAATCATTTTTCTCATGAAGTTTTTGAATTTATGACCCCTGATCAGTCAGTTCAGGAAGTAAGGTGTACTAAAAAGGAAGTGGCAATTTTTTTTTATAAACATGCATAAACCACCATGCATAAACCACATGACCTGCTTGCTTAATCACTTCAGTGCACTCGTCACTTGTAAATGATTGAAATCCTTGTTTACTGAAGTTGTAAATCTTATAAAGTATAACAATGGATTGTTTGTTATTCCTTGATTTAGTTGAGGTTTCAAAGCAGGGATGACATACACACATGAACAAGTTTTTGTAAATTATAGATGACACTCTTTAAAATATCTCTTCTTTTTTTGAAAATGAAATAATTTTGAAGACATGGTTTAAAGCTTCAAGTAGACTACCTGAAATAAAAATCAATGTCAAGCCTTCATGCTCAGTTAAAAGTAAAATATGGTATCCTTTAAGAGAAAGATCTAGAAAACAGAAGTTACCTGTCCAAGTGTGCTTAGTTCATCTTCTATATTCGTTGGTATGAAAAAAAAGCATCTGCTAAAAATTGTAGCAGATTGTTGGGGTAGTTTAATACTACTAGTTTTATATATATATTGAAATAGTGTTGCATTTAGTTTGCAACATTATTTTACTCTCATATGTAATCCTAGCAGATTCTTACAAATTGCTAATTTCTTGTAATTGGATTATAAATTAAGCTTTCCTTGCATTCAGTGGCAAATCCCATCCAGGAATTTTATAATACCGGTAGACTCTGATGCATTTTGTTTCAGTTGAAAATGCAAATTGCTCTTTTTTTTTCTTCCTCAAAAAAAACAAAAAACAACCAAATATCAAGATGATACCCAATTACTGTGTTTACAGTTTACTTCAACACAGAAATTTAATCTACATCTTAAACCAACTGCTGACAGTATAATCTTCTTGCGATACGATTTTCAAAGGTTTTGTAATAATAAGACAGGGAAATCTAAACAAACACCATCCTATTGACTTAATGTAGGTTGTAAATAATGATAAGAATGCTAACAACCAGAATTTTAGGGCATTTAAGCCTTCTAGTCAGATTAGAAGCTGAATTGGTTTCTGAACGTAAACAATCGTACTACTGGTATGACGTCACTTCAATTCAGGGCCAATTTAGCTTTTCCCCCTCCAAGTGACATGAGCTTGAAATCCATTGAAAATGGAAATTTCATGAATCATATGACCATTCAGGTCATCAGTCAGTGAGATTCTATATAAGTCTTAATGTTTAAATCAAATGCTATTGCAAAGTCTTCCAAAATGTGATCGTAGTCAGATTGTATTGTGTGCGATGGGCTTTCAACATTGCCTCTTGGAAGTCCATCATTTTTCCCTAATTTGTTTTCTTCTTCCCTATTTGTGTTGGTTCTATTTTTACTATTTGTATAAAACTGCTATTTTGTTTGTAACTACTCTTATTGTCAGTTAATGAATTTGTATTTTCCTTCTTTATGCAGGACCATATGTTAAACAGCCTCTGAGCTGATCAATGTTATCCTGTTAAAAGATGTTTTAATAAAAAATAAAAATAAAAAAAAAATAATGTAGGACAATAGTGTCCTGGTGGAAATGAAAGGAAATGATGATCCGATAGGGTTCGCATGTATACTCACGTAAGCCATGAAACCACCAGCTATGGCTAGGAGAGGAGTCAGGGACATGATGACGAGCGTTAGCTCCCAACTCTTCCAGAAACCAATGGCAAAACCTGAAATGAACAACATTAGTAATAATAGTAGTATCAGTAGTAGTAGCAGAAGAAGAAGAAGAAGAAGAAGAAGAAGAAGAAGAAGAAGAAGGAGGAGGAGGAGGAGGAGGAGGAGGAGGAGGAGGAGGAAGAGGAGAAATAGAGGAAGAGCAGAAGGATAAGGAGTACAAGTAGTCATAGTATGTAGGTAGCAGAAGAAGTAGTAGCAGGAGTAATGGTTGTCACAATGTCAAAGGCAAAGTAACGTCTGAAGATATGGTACATTGTAGGTGTCATAATAACACTAGCCGCATTGATTACAAGTCACATAAAATACAATAGCAGTATTACAGTGTAGAAATAATACTGTTCTGTTGGTAGGATACAATCATTCTGGTATTTCCATAAAAATAACAGTTTATGTCTGAAAAATTCACAACCATGACTTGAAAATTCAATTTACTCTAATTTTCAATTGAGAATCAAACATGTTTGCATGCAATACATGTACTAAAATAAATTATACAAATGTGTTTACCTGTTGCAAACTGTGATAAAAATTGAAGACAGACACCAATCTTATCACCAAGACCCTCTCGAACTCTCTCCATGTCACTGTCAAACAATGCAGATCAAAAAGTCTAATGAAAAACCTCATAGATGACATCACACATATTGGTAAATAAATGTGCAGTTAAGCTTGCGTTTTAGAGACCACCTGTATAGAAAGACCACCTACAAGGACCACCTGTCTATAATTAAAAACCAATTCCCCCCCCCCCCCCCCATTTAATACAGTTTCTTATTGAAAGTTTGAAACATAAACTAATAGAAACTGTACATCAAGATCACCTACCTATAAAGTACCACTACCTTGCCTCCCCAAAGGGGTCTTTATAATCAGGTTTCACTATACATGTACATGTACATGTACATGCCCAAAATAAAGGCTTGTATTCAAAGATGGGACTAACTTATACCTGATTCAATCTAGTCTACAGATTTATGGACGCTCACAATCTAGCTCCCCCTCTAGCTCACTACATTCTGTACAATATTACTGAATATTTGTAACAGATGAATAAACAACATGAATCCAGAAAAATGACGAATTGATTTTAATGGTGACATAAATTTTCTTTACTTATTTGATAACAGAATAACCGCTAAGGATATTTTTATAAGATGAGGGGGTTAACATTTGGTGCTCTCCTTAAAACAGAACTTGGACTAAATCTACAATAATCAAGCAAGGTCTAAAATACACTTTTACTTTTATGAATACCGTACCAATCTGAGTTATTGTTAGGCATGAATAGACAGGTTTTTAAGACAGAAAATATGCAAATACATGTATTCTGAAATATTCTGTGTTTAATATGCTGTCACTCATTGTGCACCAGTGAGAACACACCTTCTCCAGGTGAACTAAAGATTAGATGAAGTGTGAACCCTTCATACTCTCCTAATCGGCATGTTGGACTCTCACAATACATTGTAGCTTGTCCAATCAAGCACTATTTTAGTGAAGGGTGGCCAAGGGCAGATCCAGCCGGCGGCAGGGGAGGGAGCCAAATAGGGAGCCCAATTCGTGAGAACATTTTTAGCGGCGAGTTAGGCAGCCGGTAAAGAGCACTAATTTTTTAGTTTTCCAAATTCATTGAAAATATTTCATGACGAACTACACCCACCCAGGGGGAGGGGGCCCGTCTTTTTTTTTTATTTAAAAAAAGGTTAAATTTACCTGTTTTGGCCCCCCCCCCCCCCCCCCCCCCACCCCCAGATCTGCCACTGAGAGTGGCAATGGAAAACACAGTGTAAATACCACTTATGGCACTTTTGTTGTTCTTCATGGCAATATAAGGGTCGGCTTTAACATACACTGTACCACTCTGTATGCTGTATGAGAGAAATCTTACGTCAGTGTAAAGACTGCTTACTGTGATAAGGCTTAAAATAAAAACTTGTTTCACATTGCAACATGGGTCGGTCGGTCGGAAAAGATTCTTTTTTTTTAATTTTTTTTTTTTGTCGCCCTCTTTGGGCCGATATTTTTCAGTTTTTAATGTTTTTTTGTTTTTTCCGCCCTTTTTTTTGGCTGATGTTTCTCAGTTTTTAATGCTTTAATACATGTGTTTCAGAGTCATCATTCCATTCATATCTCTTTCACCTCATAATAATCCATGGTTTGCAATGTTGTGTTAAGACAACACTCTGTGCTTTCCTGCTGACGAAGTTGGTTTTAACTACCTGTAAAACTTGCTAGCAATGTGAAGATTGTTTGGAATAATTTGATTTTATGCATTTATATCCTAAGTCAAACAAAATACATATTTTTTTATTCATTAATACAAAAAATTCTAAAAAACAGTTTAAAAAAAAAAAATGCCGACCATAGATTTTCAGATTTTTGGGTTGGTCCCACAGGGCAATACAACAAGTTTATATTTTAGGCCTAATCTCAAGGAAGACTTAGCCTCGTTCAGATAAGACATGGTAAACTATGGTGGATTTTTTTTAATATTCCGCTTCACATTTATGTATCTTATATAAACACAAAGCTACAAACCTTGGTGGTGCACGTAGTTGTTATTTAACACATATTAAAAACAAACAAAACAAAACACTGCAGCAGTTTACCTTTACACAACACGCCATGACGGTGCTCACCATCTAATTGGGTCACTACAAATTATTTTTGTACATGTAAGTAATTGGTACACTTTATGTCTGGTCAGGGTACCACAGGTCCGATCATGGTAATTACAGGTCAGTGTAACTAGGCCCTGTGCAGATATGACATTGACATCTTTTTTTTGTGATGACATGAAGTGTAATATACATCACATTTCTATATCTTATAACACAGCTCAGTGAATACTAAGGCCAAATAAAAAAAAACATGTTTAGCGTCCTGTTTTTTCGAAAAATAGGAAGGAGGAGGCCCTTTTTTTTTTTTTTCTTTCAAAATAGCCGCTCAAAATGGCCGCTCGGTACATTTTCCCTGACAGTCGGGCTATTTTTCAAGATGGCCGCCGACATTTTTTTTTTAAATTTTAAAATCAGAAATAGATCCATTTTAGCAGTGTTTTTCATGTGTTTTTTTCTTTCAAAAAAAAATCAAAAATCAAAAATTCAAAAAAATATTTAAAAAAAAAAAAAAAAAAAATAATAATAGGAGGCGGCCCCCAAAAGGAAGCGGGCGGGGACGCTAAACATTAATATTTTTTTAAATGGTCTAAAAGGACCTTTCTTTTAGATGCAAAGTAGGTGGCATTTTGGAGGTTGGGGGGGGGGGGGGGGCTTCTACTGTGCTAATCTCAAGTTTATTTATACGGGTCATTGTGACATACCAGAAGTGAGAGACTGTAGCAATGTTTGCCCAAATTGAGTGTTGAATAAAAAGCATCGCCAACGATCTTCAGAAGCACTCAAGCTTCATGGTGAATCAAAATTATGGACCCAAAGTTTATGAAATGTTATATGAATATGGTGTCCATGTAACGCTGGTGAAAAGAGAAATGTGTATCAAACAAAGATTTTGAAGAAAAGCAACTGAAACAGGAACGATTCTGGCAGGGCACTACATACTTTCATTGCATATATATCTTCAACAGATGATTTCATCTTCAACATGTGTAGTAGAAGATCTCATACCAACGTTACATGGACATTTTCATTTATTTTTTTGCCCAACCTCATGGAATGACCCATACACTCCGGTGCTGCAAGCCAAGCATTGTCATTGTGAATGATACTAATAAAGAATGCAGAGTAAAATCACTCTGATACATTTTCCTATCATATCATGATTAAAGACTAGTGTAAACACCACCTAAGTAATCTCCTTAAAGAGAAGGTTGAATTCTGGGAAGAGGTGAAAATATTTTGTGAGCATTATCATTGTTATTTATATGCAAGTGTAGAACATCAGATAAAACATGTTCCCTGAAAAGCACGGCTATTCAAATGCCTTCATATTCTAAATATGGCATGTAACAATGTAAAAATCAGGACGGATTTTTACGCCACATGTTAGTGTAGTCCCAAATAAATTCTTCTGTGTACAGTGCTTGTAACTTTACCAAAACTTGGCCAAATTTCTTATAATTTTGATGATTTCAAAACCTTGCAATACACACGAATACATATACTACATGTAGATGATCAACCTTTCTGGTCGATTCCACACCGTTTCGTCCGCAATGCAATTGCATGACCTGAACTCAACTTCATCTTTAAAAAACAGCATTATATAACCGGGCATGGTGGCTCAGTGGTTAAAGCGCCTGCCTCATGAACGGGAGGTCGTGGGTTCGAACTCCGGCCGAGTCTTACCAAAGAGTTATAACAATGGGACCTTCTGCCTTCTAGCTAGGCGCTCAGCATATTAGATTGGAGAAGGGTAGTAATAACATATTATGTTATGTAGGGCCTGCTGGAAGATCAGTTTAATAACTGAAGTGGCTACCCTGGGTAAATAAAACGTTATTATTATTATAGCGTATACACTACATGTACATGTATACAGAGAGTGTACACACCACCAAAGACATGTACAAACTGTATGCCTAGACCATCTTGTTCTAAAGTGGCAATGGTTCGTGATGTACAGGTGTACATGTATAATACAAACATCACCACTTGTAAACACCCTTCTAGTATTCATCTGAATTGTAAGTGGGTTTTCCACTGTTCTACACTAGCTGTGCTTCTCAATGCGACCATTCAGCAACAATCTAACATTGTGCTTGGTGTGACGAGCCCTATATCTAATCATTGATTACGTGGTGATGTTCAAACAAGATTGCACTTGTGTATTTACTTGCGAAACTATCATTATTTACATGCTTCTCTTCCTGAAGGTAATGCTCTACACTAAACTGCAATGAACTCTATTTTTTTTTAATGATTGTTTTTTATTTTGTTTATATAATGTTAACTTCAATTTTGTAACACCTTGATCTCTTTTACATGAGCTTTTGAATTTTAAGCGAATAAAGAACATGAAATGAAATAAAGGGGAAATCCGCCCAGATATTAATTGAGTTTTAATAGAATGATGCCATTAAAGAATACTGGTAGTGCTTACCGGTAAACACAACTCACTCAGCTTAATCTCAATGTAAAATGCTGCTTGTCAAACCAAGCACTATCTGATGGAATTGAAAGTGAAGGGTCGCTCTAGTTTCTTTTCCAATACATTGTTTTGAGGCAATACTGGGGTCACTTTCATCTATTTGTGATAAAAAAAATTTGCATCCCATTTACTTTTCAAAAGTTGCCAACTTGCAACAAGTTGAACAGTGATCTATACACTGCAAACCTTATTGAACACGAAATTCAACCCCAATATTGTTGGTCATTCCCTGAGGTTTGGGCAATTTTTGTGACATACCATAAATGAGAAACATGTCAACTGTAACAATTTTTGCTCAAATTGGGTTTAGCATAAAAAGCATACACTGTACGTACATGTAGCCAACTATGTTTATAAATACACTAGCTTCATGGTGAATCAATATCATAGACCCAAAGTTTATGTAATGTTATATAAATGTGACGCTGTTAAAAAAAAAAATATTTTAATAGCAAAGATTTCGAAGAGAAGCAAATAAAACAGGAATGATTCTGGCAGGGCACTATTATATATTCATTGCATACAAATCTTCAACAGATGATTTCATCTTCCATGTGTAGTAGAAGATCTCATACTAACGTTACAAGGACATTGTCATGTTTTTTGCCCCGACCTCATGAAATAACCCATATCATCCATTGACATGTACGTCAAACCTGCTTTAGTGACCACCTGTCTACAAAGACCACATATTTTGTTTCCCTTGAAAATGGTATCTCATTGAAACATGCACTGAAGGAACCTGTCTACAAAGACCTCTTTTTGTGTTTCCCTTAGGCGGTTGCTAGAGACAGGTTTGACTGTACATGCACATCCTTTGAGTATAATCTTTTTTTAAGAAACAGTGAAAAATGACACTACTTACTCGGCCAATCTAGAAGTGAGTTCTCCACTTTGGTGTTGATCAAACCAAGCAATCTCTTGATGGAGAATAGCTTTGAAGAACTCCTTCCGTAGCTTATGGCTCTGCCTCTCACACGACAGACTCCAACAAGATACCTGCAAGAAAAATCGGACATCAGTATCATAGTCAAAAGTGTATTCAGGTGTAAAAGGTAGACCGATTGGAACTAATTGAATTTAATTTTCACTGGTCTTAAATTGAATTTGCTATACATGTTATTGTAATATTAGATGACATACATGTATACATGTAATGCTAGTTGCTACAAGTCTTTATTCAATCTACCAAAGTGGAGGCGCGATAGCGCAGTACAGTTGGTAGACTGATGATGATGATGAAAATGATGATGATGATGAAGAGAACGATGGTGATGAAGCTGTTAATCAATGATGACGATGATGACAATGTTTGAGATGATGAAGATGGTAATACTAATAGCCACATTTCTTGAAGCGATCCCTACCTGGATATAAGATGCAAACACCACCGCTATCCCGACATACGTGAAGATCAGGGCATATTTGCGCATCTGCTTGTCAAACTCCTCCATCGGATCAATCGGTGGGTATGTGACACCGGGGGGAAGGGTGGGTAGAGTGTTATTGGTATCAAAGTCAATGAATTCGTCTATGAGGTCACCAAAGAAGAGGTTGAGTGCCGGCCACCCGGCCCCATGGACTAAGGCAGCTAGACCCCCAATGACCATGATGAAATAGTCAAAAGCAGTGGCATACCTGAACTGGAAATTTGGAAGACAATAGGAAAGAATTAAATCAATTAGCCTTAATGAGCAAGAAAATGTGTTCCATGCATGAACTTTGTCACATAGACAAAATTGCTAGATATGAAAATGCAAATAAGATAATTAGTTCTTCTTATTGTAGGCGTGACTTATTTGTTGGAAAACATACACTGTCTTTAGCATCTGTCTAATTTAATGATGATGATAATGATAGATAATGAAATATTAGTAGGAGTAGTATATATAGTTTTAATATCATTATTTTCATTTTCATTTTAACCATTTGTTCTTCTTGTTATCATTATTCTTGGTATCTTACTTCTTCCCATTCCTCTTATTTTCCTTCTTCATCTCCTTCTTCTCCTTCATCTTTTTCTTCTCTTAGATCCTGCATCGATCCCCTCATTTAAAAAAAAATCATGTTTCGGCTTTGAAAAAGGAGGAATTAAGACTAATTTACTTGTAGTAAGAATATAGAAGAAAACATATCTCCTTTAAAAAAAAGGAAGCCCTGTTTCAGTTTTTCTTCATTTTTTGTATTTTTACTTACCAGTTTACTTAGTGGAACCTTCTGTTTATCTTCACCATCCCTGCCAAATCAGAAAAAAGAACAAAAAATTGACTTGTTTGTCTAATTGTGAGAAAAACCTTGAAAGATAGATACAATGTACATAGATTAGATAGAGTGAAAGATAGATAGAGATATACTAACAAAAACATCATACTCATAGAACATAGAAGAAAGTAACATATATTCTTATACCCTGTCATCAAATTATTGGGTTTTTTGTTGTGTTTTTTAGGTAGATCTAGTTTACTTTCAGTTTCAATACATATTATATAGTTTACACTCAATCTCAACATTAACCAACTTATGCAGGGCCGTCAACCCTCTTGTATTTGGAGGGATCGAGTCTCACGCCACCACGCTCATTCTCATACGGCGTCCCACCAGCTAAGTCTGAGTGGGAGACTTCCGCCACCACGCTCTTCCTCGCGCAAATCTCCCAGTTTATGAAAAACCTCCCGCCAAACGTATAAAACGAGTACCAGCATACCGTATTGTATGACCTGGGGGTGGGGGGGGGGGGGGGTGGGCGGGGTAGTGAGCACTTCAATTTTTTATTTACCCCCCCCCCCCCCCCCTCACTATATAGACCACACAAATAATATACGATCTCCCGCGAAGCAGTTCCCCAAGTCCAAGGTTGACAGCCCCGAGTTCTGACAATGGTTATTGGTAGAGAGAGAGAGAGAGAGAGAGAGGGGGGGGGGGGGTAGTGAGCGCTTCAATTTTTTTTAATACTCAACACCCCGTTTGAGCCAAAAAAAATTGCATACGATCTCCCTCAAAGCAGTTTCCCTGAGTTACATGTACATGTACATGTAGATCTATATGACAATGTCAATGTTATTTGGGTAGAGAATCTGACTGAATATAAATAATTAAGGGTCAACATTTTTTACAGAACAAACAAACCAATAAAGTGAAGGAGACTCAGTCTCAGAGAAAGTAATCAAGAGAGAGAGTAGGAGAAGGATTATACTTACTTGATTTCGACACTAGTACCACTGCCACTGTCACTGTCAAGCTCTTTAGCTACTCCAGCGACTTCCACGCCGCCGTAACCCCCATTTTTGTCACCTTCCGTAGCTCCACCTTTTTTTACCCATGATATTGTGACTTTCTCCCCCAAGGAGAGGTGCTCTCTCGCCGTCTTTGTCTGTGAAAGACATGGTGGAAGTTGAGTTTTATAAGACGAGAAGAATGAATGAAAGTCCGTTATTTGTCTGGGCCTTTTATAATTTTATCAATCACAACTTGTCGTAAGACTGCCAAAATACTACTGCATAATCACCGCATATCAGCTGATGCATATATGCGATGATCATGATATAATCACGATTCACGATTGTGCGCGTAACTTTATAAAAGTACCAAAAACTTCTCATTGAATTTGTTCGGTAAACAAGTTGCGGTATATTTGAGATGGCGCTCTTTGACTCAACTCTCAACTCATGATCAAGATCAAAATATTAAAGGGATATACGGTTGATCTTTTTACTCTTTATTTCTACAAAGTACAATCTGCAAACTTACAGGGATGCAGGGCTTTGTTATCGAGGACGGGGGTAATCTAGATCCAGAATCAGGCCCATTTAATTTTAATCTCCACGCGTACGGTGACTTTTATAGCCGAAGATAGCGTACCGGTAATCATTTAATTAGAGTACAGCACTAATTAGGAGTTTGTTGATAACGCCATCTTCGGCAGCTTGAATTAATTGTAGGGAATATAATATTCAAACTTCATTGACTTCAATCTCAATTTGTGTACAAATTTCAAAGTTATAGTGTAACACAGGCGCGTACACAGGGGGGGGGGGGGGGGGTTGGGGTTTAACCCCCCCCCCCCCTTTGGTATTTTTCTGTGTGTTAACCCCCCCTTGTTTTTTTTTGTTTTTTTTTAATTTAAAAAAAAAAGACCTAAAAAGTTGACCTTACCCCCCTACCCCCCCCCCCCAACGATCTTACCCCCCCCCCCCCCCCTCTTCGCTTATTCAGCGGCTGGCTGAGTCGTTGCGAAATTTTCGGCCCGATTTATAAATGTTAAACCCCCCCCCCCCCCCCTTGAAAAAATCCTGCGTACGCGCCTGGTGTAACATAGATAATTGAGTGTAAGGGTAAAGATAACTGACAATAACCAGGAGTGATACATACTGCCGCATGTCTCACCTGAAATATAATACAGAGATGAGAATAAATTATATTACTCGTAATTAATACTTTATACAATAAAAGGTAGAAAACAAAATATTAATATTAATAGAACATGATAGTAAGACAATATACATATATATCAGTAGCGCACGCAGGATTTTTTTCAAAAGAAAAAAAAAGCAAACAAAGGGGGGGGGGTTCCTCCAAAATACACACATAACAAATTAAGGGGGGGGTAACCCGACAACTTGACCCTATTCCTAATATAACAGTGAGCATGGGAATAAATAATGACTTTTACAATACTTAATTACATCGACATTAATAATAATGGTAAAAGCAATCAATGATCTACTAAATTCGTATATTGTCGTATTTCTATCACAATCAAAATATGTATAAAGATAAACAGCAATGTAAATAACAGAGGTAAGAAATTACGTGGTCAAAAGAAAATATTTGAACTTTGTATATATTTATACACACATAAACATACATACATAATTTATATGTACACTGTCACTCATATAGTTGGAATGTTTTTTTTACCCCAATTTATGGAATTATTTTGACAATGATTTCTTCCTAATAGATCTAGATAATAGTAGACATTCTCAGATTTTATTGAATAATAATTTGCCAGTGTTTGTTTTGCGTGACTGCTAAAGCATGTGTATGTTACTATGCTTATCAACTAAGGGACCTACGCCATTAAGCCATAAATGACAGTAATGAGAATTAATGCCCCACAAAAGGGCACTAATTAAGCAAATCGACACGGTTTTGATCATGGGGCCTCACAGTTACGAGGCCATTGCTTTGCCACTGAACCATGACTGTACGCAGCGGGGGCTAAGGTAGGGGGCAGTTCCCACAAAAAAAAACACACAAAGAAAATGCAAAAAATTATCAATAATTCATTGAATTCCCCCCGGTGTGTTAAGGGGTCATTTTTAATGAGCCAACATGAACGGAACCAGCCAGATTCCGGACTAGGAGGGGGCGGGATGCAGGGGATGGGGGCACAATCTATTCCTTAATTGTAAGAAAAAAGGGGGCACCGGCCTCATAGGGGCTCGGAGTTGTATACTGAAGGGCAAGTTGAAGGATGTAAAGGTATTTATGTCATTTGGGTTCGTTTTTTAATAAGCCAATTGGTGCTTTTCATGATCCCGCCACTATTATTCATATGTATTTTTTATTGATTTGTAAATTGTTTTTAAATTGGAAATAAATTGAATTGAATTAAATATTTGGAGCCCATTTCGTATAATTGGTTTTAGGTATAGAGATTAGAGGAATCACATTTCTGTTAATTGTTCTTGTATTCAAATTAGGTGCCATAATCCGCTAGCCATCATGCGTTATAGCTAGGCTACATCTCAATATGAGGGGACATACACCATCGGACACTAGTCTGCAAGCACAAACCCTGGTCAGTCGTAAAAGTGAGTCTGCACTATAAGACTACCATAGGTCATGTACTGTAGCTGCTCCTGACACAACCAGTAGGTAGCTGGGCTAGAGTTCTCTCAAGGCACAATGATTTGTTGATAAAGTGTCAAATTAGGGTCTGTGCTTGCAGACTAACCGGACACCGTGAATCCCACAAAGTTTACTGGACCTAATTTCTAACCCTTAACTCGAATTGAACTTTGGCACTATGTTTTATGACATGAACAGTGTTCGGTATGTTTTGCTTGTTTCCCAGGTATTAGTCAAGATGTTCACGTAATCCTCTGTCTGTTATATATGTCATGTCTATTGCATAAAACTCAGAGAGAAGGTCGAGTTCTGGGAAGAGGTAAACAATTTGTGAGCGTTATCATTCGTATTATGCAAGTGTGGAAGAACATCAGATAAGACATGTTCCCTGAAAAGCATGGCTCTTCAAATGCCTTCATATTCTAAATATGTCATGTAACATCTTAAAGCTCGGGGGTAGGATTTTTACGCCACGTGTTCGTGTAGTCCCATATACAGTGGCGGATCCAGGGGGGGGGGCCGGCCCCCCCCCCCCCCCCCCTTTGAGAAAAAAATCATGTGAAATCACGTGATTTTTACCTTTTTTGGGGGTTGGGACCCCCCCCCCCCCTGGCGCTCAAGGGGGGGGGGGTGCAAATAGAAAAAATTGACGACCAAAAAAAAAATTGTGCTCTCTACCCCCCCCCCCCCCCCCCCCCCCCCCCCCCCCCCTCCTGAGCGAATTTTTGGCCGGCGCGAATTTCAAATTTTCGGGAGCAAAAAAAAAAAAGTTGGGCCCCCTCACCTAAGAAATCCTGGATCCGCGCATGCCCATATACATCTTTCTGTGTACAGTGTTTGTAACTTTACCAAGACTTGGCCAAATTTCTTATCATTTTGATGATTCCAGAACCTTGCAATACACACAAATTCTTATATGCTAGATGATCAACCTTTTCTGGTCGATTCCACACCGTTTCTTTCACAATGCAATCGCATGACCAGAACTCAACTTCATCTTTAACCAATTAACCAGACATTTGTCTCGTTACATCATAGTATAGAATAAGAGGTACATGATATTAGGCAATGAACATATTTGGGAAGATACAAGGAAATTTATGAAAAAAAATAATAAAGGAAAATACAAAAAGGTATACTAAAGATACAAAATGAGAAATTTGCTTTGTACATACATTACAACAGACTGATTAGACAGATATAAATAACTACTACAGTTGTTGCATGTACTAGTATTGAGAAGTGAAATATGCTGGCTTATTAAATCACAATAGTTTCTTTCGATTACATCATGCTAAGTAGTAAGTAGTTATGTACCTACCAAATGATTATTATATATTTCATTTCAGTTTCATTTCATTTTGCTCATTCTCGCACGTCAGTTAAAAAAACAAGTATGAAAGATAGGGCCAAGATTGATATTTAAAAACCTAAATTATATATAAGGAAAAAGGTATACATAGAGAAGCAAATATCCAAGCAAACAAACTGGAAAACATTTAGTAAAATAGAATATGGGTTGGGATAAACAAAGTCAGGTTAGTTTGTCAAGGTTAATCCCATGCATAATAATTATCATATTGTAAAAGAGGAGACGGTCGTGATTATTGTTGATTTTTTTTTTTTTATTTATTTTTTTTATTTTTATCGATGCGTCGTATTTAATTGATTGCTTAAGTCATTCATAATTATGGTACATTCACATTAACTGTTACCCTATCAATTGTGGATAAAATAGGGTAAGGCTTTTAAAACTGATGTTTATTTCGTGTGTGTGTTTTCCCTTCAGTATTGACCAATAATGATTCGCATAGCTGCTACTAAGTGGGTACATTTTTTTAAAGGTAGTAACTAATGATCTGTCAGCAGGGGAAGATTAATTGGCTTCCTCCCCCTTATCCCTCTTTCAAGTACGCTAGCGGTTGACACTATATATGAAATGCAACAAAACATCCCAAAGCAACTTTGGCCTAATTAACTTTGAGCACAAACCTTTGGTTGACGTTAAGTGATCGAGATTAATGAATCTTCATTAGCTGTTCAAAGACATTTTCCCTCTTGATTACCATGACTACGCTGCATCGTGCGTACATGTACTCCTCTTCACACACTTAAGTGGCGTAGTTATACAGGGGGCATGAGGGCAAGTGTCCCATCCCCCTCCCCCGGCCCCCCCCCCCCCCCCCATTGAGTGGTGAACAAAAGATTATAAGATATAGGAATAGCGAGAAATGTGAGAGGGAACGGGAGAAGGCAATTATGAGAGAGAGAAGAAAAAAAAAGTGACGCCTGGATCGAGTCATGCCATTCATAACCTTGTAGAGTCGCATTGAGTAAGACCTGTACATGCATATTCACCCCCAATAGATCAAGTGGGTGGACTCACGCTAGCTACACGCCTCTGGCTGTAAAATTAAGGAAACACTTCCTAATTGACTACGCAGCATTGTGCATGTGCACTACACTTAACATAACGTGTTAGGTAATTAAAGAGATTTATCATTCGGAGATTGACAGGTTTTAAAGGTATAGATCAGGTTTGGAACCGCCCCCCCCCCCCACCTCTCAACAAATTAAAAGGAAGCTCTTATTACCAATCATGTGAAAGAACGGTGAATATGTTTTGACTTATAAAAAATAATACGTGATGATACACATTTTGCCGGAAATTAACCGCCTTCAAATTGATACATTTGGTAAATTATTATATCTATCCGGACTGGATAGATATCGCGTA